ACTTGCCATTATTCGAAAAATCGCGCCCGCCATCTTGGATTTAGAAATAAGTGCCATATTCGAAACCTAAAACCGAAAATGCCATAAGCAAACATTAAAGAAAATAACTGTTAAAATAGATTAAAAAATCGCTTAAGAATGCTCCCCTTTTAAGAAAATAAAATATTTTAATATAAAATATTTCGCTTGAGTTACGAAAAGAAAGACATATAATAAGCTATCAAAGTTGTACTGGTGGTGCCAACACTATAGTAGAAACAAATATATACTGTAAATTTGTTGCAATATGTGCTCCAATTCAAATAAAATTAATATAAATAATTATTCAATAAAGCATGAACGCAGAGCCGTTAAAAGTATTATAAAATAATTAAGTGTCCCAATCACTTACAGGAGTTAACGAAAACATTTAATGTTTATTCGAGTAAATATTAGTTCAAAATGCGCAAATAAATCGAAATTACAGGCACCACTAAAATTTACGTAATATAATTATTTTGATACAGAATAGCAAAATGGGGAGAAAAAAAATTCGTTACTTTGCAACACTTTCGTATCTTGTTGCCGCGAAATTATTTTTCTGTTTTAGTGAATATTTACATAAAAATATGAGTTGAAACGCATTACTTACTTGTGGAATGCGATGTTAGTGTCTATTTTGTTTGTCTGTTGTATTTTTACACCCATTTACCGCACATTTCGTCATTTTCAGCAAAAAATTTTGGAGCTGTTCGCGGTGCAATATGACCTTGAGCACTAACAGCCCGCGCGCTCCTGGGACGCGTTTGGAACCCTCTAACTTGCCTCACTTAGCGTGTGCGGGCTAGGTTTCTATGCGTTATTATTCTAAGGTTATAACTATATTCCTTAACTGAAACCAAATTACAAAAGACTTTATCCTGAAAATACCACTAATTATGAATTCAAAGTTTTTGTTCAAAGTGATAGAAGATAATGTGATCTATGTGAAAGTGAAAACATAAATATTGACTACCGCCGCTTAAAAGACTATGTAAATAAACCGAATAAGTGAACTAAGTTATTTAAGAGAAATTGAAAACAATCTATTAGAACTACAATGAAAAATATTACTGAGTATCCGATAATTAAACGAAGACATGACTCAAAGGACTCTTAAGTCAAAACCATTAATAAAAAAAAAGGACGAATAAGTAGTGTTGCCACGTTGCCCAAGGAGGAAGTAGTTAAACTTTTAAAAAAGTTGCTAGATTCCAAGACATAAATTCTGGGTAAAATTGCCTAAAGTGGCTGAACAAAAACATAATTATGGGATTGCGTTTTTAAATACATATTTTTCTTAATTTTACAAATTATAAATCGAAAAAATAATTATCATCAATATCAATAAAATCATTATCATCTTGTGATATTTAAAGAATTCCAATATTTTACTTTTCTTGCTAAAAGAGCTAAAAGATTTAACTATCAAATATATTGTTTTGTACCTAATAATTTCGTAAATTGATTTAACTTTAATAATTAACTAACAATAAACTAATTTTACAATATTTCAATGCCATACCATCAATCTATCCGTGCTTAACTTACGCAGCTAACAAACAAAATCCTTCTTCGTCCTGAGTTATCTCCCTTAATATTTCATAGATGGCACTATATTCTATGTGGAAATTGCGGGTCTTGTCATTGGTTGAAACAATTATAACGTGAAATACTTTCACATATTATTTGTAGCATATAACGTTTGGTGCGAAACGCGAAATAGTTGATTGGTTTATTGATGTTAAATTTCACGTTTGAGTACGCTAAACGCTAATGTTATATTTAGCACTTAGCAAGTATTATAATTGTAGTTATGTTATAAATTATAATTTTGGTTACGTTTTAATACGATTTTGAGCTAATGGTGGAATGTTAACGGATTTTTTTCTGGTGAAGCGATTTAAATTAAGATATAATTAAGTACTTGGATTTATTTAGTTAGTTTAGCGTTTGTTTAATTAATAAGTCGTTGTAATATTTGTATATAAAAGTAGGAGTAAGTGCATTATTATTAATTATTATGAGTGTAATTTACTGTATATAACCAGTGTAAAGTTTTGTGCAAATAGTAAATTGTTAAGGTATGAAGGGAAGCTCATTGATTTATCGTCTATAACCTGTAACCATCATATTATATAATAGTTACAAAACAAATGTAGTCGGTCGTAACTAACCATAAAAAACTGTAAACTATTCTATAGATAGACCATAGATGCTATACTTAACAGAAGCACGTCATAATAACTATTTCACGTTTCTTTCCATTCGTTACATTATCACACGACCTTGAGCTGCTAAAAAGTATAATTTTAGCACTTTAAATAGCGCGCTATAAAAATTTAGCATTTAGCATTTGGCATGCTATGCGAATATAGCAGGTAATCTCATCTCTATCCGGGCGCACTAATGCCAGCGCAGCGTCGTCACGCGGCGCCAGGCTTTGTAGTTGAAAAACAGGACGCGACGCTTCGACTGTGTGAGTTGAGCCTAACGAATAATACGACGAGCCTGTAAAACTGTGAAGATTATTGCGGATCAATTTTTTGAATGAAATTAAACGTTACATTAAAGTGTTTATTAATAACGACTGTTAAAAAAGTAGCCGCTTGCCAAAACCGTTTAGCGTGATGTAAGTGACAGGCGTGACAAAATCACGGTGATTTGTCACTGTCATTTTTTTGTAACTGGAATGACAGTCACGGGGATAGAAATGTAACGCTTTTCCCCATGTATATAACACTAGTATTATTGTGTTATGGAAATCTGAAACAACGACGGCATCACAAACACCCAGACCCGAGACAATATTGAAAAGTTAGTTTCTACATTGACCCAGCGGCGGCCGGGGATCTCAGAGATGACGAGACCTTGAAAACCGGTGTGTAAGCTACTAAACCACCGAGGTCGTCATAATATTAAGCTTTATCATGCATCATAATTGACAATTGTTTCTTTTAAACGTATCAATAAACCAAAAATAAAACTAAAAAAACACAACATCTTTCTAATGGCGGCAGGAAAAAAATTACGAATTTTTGAAGTTACAGTTTCACCTAAATTAAATTTTTAGTTCATGTATAACTTATGTATTATTACGTTTCGAATGTCTTAGTTATTTGCTATCTATTTAAAAGCTGATGATGGCTCTATAGCCAATGCTCAATAAATTCATAATAAATAGTTAAACGGCGGCAAAAAGTGGCGGGTTTTTGCAGTTACAGGCATTGACTTACAATTATAGTTACAGGTTTAATTTTTAATTCAAATTTTATTACGTGTTGAGTACCTATCATAACTATTTTGTTACCTGTTTAAGCTGATGGCTAGCCAATGCTCAATAGATAAGCAATAATAAAACTATAAGTTCTAAAAATGGCGAGTTTTTGTAGTTAGTTTATATACGTGGATTCATTTTTATTAGAGTAGGTTTAAGTTTCATACATTTTAGTTTATGAATTATTTGTTACCTTTTCAAGATGAGGCATTCATTATTCTGCATTGCAGTCCGCCTTGCCGTCCGCCACGTAATGCAGGATTATGAATGCAATCGCAGCGTGCAAACAATCCTGCAATCCTGCAATGCGCTCTACGAGACTCCATACGTGGGTCATACCCATGTACCAGGATAGTGTGTGAGCAGTCTCCTGCCTGCGCGACGGACCGCCATGCAGGTAGTGGCCGTTTAAGCTGATAGCTCTATAGTCCATGCCCATGCTCAATATAGTACATTGTACAACAAATGCATGAAACGCGTCATTTTACCCAAGACGACTATATTCTTGTGGATACTTAAGTCGAGGGTAAAATGGGTTTTATGAACGAATTATATGCATGAATTAAACAGCAATATTACAAATTAACGATTATTTAATTAAAATTACAACAATTAGACATATCTAATATGATGTTTTTTTTTTTACGCACTAGAGCATAAATCCTATTTTATGCAGCCTACACTCACCATAAATACGAACTTTAAGAGCATGAGAAATGAAAAATAAATAGTAATTCAAACGGCGAGAGAAATAAATGGCGGGTACTTTGTGCACTTACAGTTTTTACACGAATTGATTTTTATTTTAAGTATATATCGTTTTGTTCTTTTTCCATCCTCTAAGGTTCTTTTTAAGCTGATGGTTCTATTGCCAATGCTCTATAAATAAATAATAATCAAACGGCGGGAACATGGAAACGGAAAATTTAAAATGATTGACATTGTGTATCCAAGCAACAACAAAATGTTTGCTCTACTGCTTTTGTTTGTTCAATATCACAGATTACTTACTATATACACTAGTCAGCAATATTTTGATTCTCTTTGGTTTGTTCGATGGCAAAAAAATTGTAGAAAGAATATAATAGGTAATCTTTTAAGTCTGTCGCCTAGAATAAGCGTTAATTAATTCTTAGATTTCATTGCTAAGCGAATTTATTGGAAAGCTCGGAATGGCTGACGCAACCGATGAAGGTAAGACAGCAATAACAATTTCACCCTTGAAGTTACCTCATACAAGATGGCACAAGAAAAAAGGGAATATTCTGAAGTACGTATCTCTCACAAAATTAAGTGAATTTACAAGTTTTATAGTTGGAAGTAAGAAATAAATGGTCAATCGAAATAAGTGTTTGTAAAAAAATCATATGTTTCTTTTTCATACAACTTGAAACAATTTTCACGAAACAGTTCCAAGCAGCTGTTTCTTAGATCGTCGTTTTCAGTTCAAATATTATCGTTGCGCGTGAGATGTACCCTTTGCTTGTGAGATGGCTCCACAAAAAAATCGCACACATACAGATCTAGTAATCTTGGGGGCTAATGAAGGTCGCCTAACCGTGAAATTACGTGGGTACCAAAAAGCCAACTTAAATGCACGAACGATGTAAAAACCAAGTCACTGGCCCATAATGGCACATTTACACCGGGACATCTGCCGCCTTCGGCAGACTACACACTGCGCATTGCCGAATGCGACGCAGTCGACTTAGCGATGGGTGAGTCGGGTTAATAGGTACGCCATAATTATTACTAAATGACAAGTAAACGTATATTAAAGGATATCACTCCCACCTGTCTACAAACTCGGGGCAGCCACTACTACGAGAATTTCCCATTTCCTTGTGTTACCCTGTATTAATAAATGGTGGTTACGGTAGTAGTAGTTAAGGTTATAAATACTATTGTTATATTAAAAACATCATCACGTTAATCTCCGATCAGAGTAAGTTGAGGCCACATATCACTCGTAAGGATCCTAAAAAACTCCTACTATTTTGCAGAAGAAGAGAAATTAGGAGAAACTATAGGAGAAGAATGGGAACATGAAGAATTCGAAGACGAAGAGTTGCAAGAGGAGTCCATTCTTACCGTGTATGACACAGATGACTTTGTTTCGGGGGCAATCAACTCTGGACCTTATTCCACTATTCCTGTTGACTTACTAGAATTTGAGTATCCTTTACTTGTAAACATGAGATAGATTTCGTCTTTGGAATCGAAGCTATGATGATAAATTAGATAACCAGATCTTTATTTAATCAAGAAATATGAGTAAAGAGAAATTTACAGATAATTCATTCCCATTATAAACTTATCTAATACAAGTAAAACTTTTATGTAAAAGAAGCTAATTTGATAATAATAACTAATATAATAATACTAAAATAAACAGTAAATAATCTCAGTACAGAGTACTAAAAAAAACCGACCTCGAAAGTTCATGGAATTACATCTATTTGCCAAGTTTTATTAAAATCAAAGTTTTATTAAAAAAATAAAGTGCGCAAACCCGGATTCATTCCCTAGTTCGCAACTATACAGGACTTAAGAGTGTATTTCCACCGGCGAGGCGAGACGAGACAAGACGACACGATTTTTAAAACTTATATGGCAAAATATCAGTTCTCTCCTAGCGCACCTTCAGTACGAGGTTAGGCGAGACGAGATTTGAAATATTTGTTGATGTAACTTTGAATCGTATTGCTGCCTACATAGAATCTTTATTAACTCTGCAACACGATTCACGATGTCTCGTACGATATCGCGCGAGCTGGCGCGAGCTCGCGCGATAACGTACTCGTATCGTTGCTCGCGATGGCGATTAATGTAAATCGCGAGATTGTGCAATACGGTCTCGTGCATCGAAATGTTAACGTTCACACATTTTCGAAATTATGCAAAAATATGTAATCACCACAACATTTTAAAAGAGGTACTTTTATTTCAGAGAAAAATAAATAAACAACAGTCAATGAAAAATATATAGTCCTGGAGTTATACATGTATCCGTATCATTTTCGTAAATATTTATACAATGCATATTATGTATGTAATTGCATTAAAATGTACATGATTAGGATTGTGATTTTATCGTAGTTATGTAACCACTTTTAAAACATTGCATCGTTTTCAAAAATATATATACACAATATAATTGTAATATAACGTAAATTTGCTAGTTCGTAATATTTGCCCTGGGTTAAAAGATTTTATAAAAAAAAAATATTTTCGAAAAAGTTCTTTTTATTTTTATTTATAATTAATTTATTTTACCTTAGAGGTACAAACAGCTTATATTACGACATCATTATTTCTTCTTACAGTATCTTCATCTGCTTCTTCTTCCGTTAACATATTTAATAATAATAATTTGCGGGACATGCTACTTTAGCCGCGTGTTTATGGCTTGACGAATTGAACAGCACTGTGTCTTCACTATCCATAACCCTAGTGCGAGGTCGCGAGTGCTCGCGAGTGCCCGCGCGATACCGCGCGAGCTCGCGGATGGCAATTTTTGGTGGAAATAGGTCGGCGAGATTTCAATTCTCGCCTCGCCTCGTCTCACCTTGCCTCGTCAGTGGAAAAACACTTTAACACAAGAAATAATAAAAATCGGTTGTCACTGCTTGAAGTATATTTAGAGAAAAACCCTTAAATTGGAGCATAGCTAAATCCATAATTGAAACATTTGCTCCTTATAAAATTTAGACGCTATTTGTAAAAATGAGTCTTCATGCGTGAATATTCCGCCGGCCGTTGAAAACTTGCCTTTCAACCAGTAATACTTGCTCCAGGAAGTGGACAAATTTTTGAAAAGTATCTTGTTACAATTCCTGTAGACGTTTTGATCTCAGCCTCTCTATTGACGCCATCAGTGCCAGGAAACACGAGTTGTAGCTCGACCCAATTTCCATTTTAGCGGTGGTAGATTGTCCTGCTTTAGAACTGCTAGAGTGTTCATCTTCAATGCGTGTTTACAAGTACGCCATTTAGTCCTCAGTTGAAGCTCTGAGACATATTCTTTGCTCCATCTGCGCCAAATATATTGTCGAAGTTTTTCAATTTGCTGGAAGCGATTCAAGCGATTGTTTGGCACATCTTGATAAATCTGGCTTGGTAAGGAAGTGAGCAGTCTACCGATGATGAAATGTCCTGGTGTCAATGGTATTAGGTCTTTTGGAACGCTCGAGAGATGGGTAAGTGGTCGTTTTTCGACCATTCGAATAGGGGATTGCTTCAATTGCCTCCGTTTCTGAACGATTACAATGCCGGACTTCCACGCAGAGGTCCCGGGTTCGATTCCGGGCCGGGAAAAATACTTGTATGGCCTACATTTATTTCTCTCGTGAGTTTGGGCGTAATTTGTGGTTGTCTATGTGTGTGGCCATGGCACTCGCGACACAGGGTTTCCCTAGTGCGGGGCTATGTTGAGTGTGAGTGAGTGTTACATGCTATTGATATTTGGACAAGTGCTATATAAAGCTCTTCTGAAGTTACAATTGCCCAACACTCTTTGTAAATGATATTTGATCGACTTTACACCAGCCTCCCATAGATCGCCGAAATGTACCGAATAAGCTGGAATAAAACAAATTTCTTCATTGGCGACCTCAGACGACAACGAATCACAACAATTACTTTTTACAAATTTTGAAAGGGTGTAAGCACCAAGAAATGATAGACCATTGTCGGAATATATGGTTTTGGTTTTCCCCCTCGCGCAATGAATCTGTGCAATGCTGATAAATAATGATTGCTTCTCAAGTCATCAACCAGTTCAATGTGGATAGCCTTTGTCATGAAACTCATAAAAAGGGTTATGTACACCTTCACCAGCATACATCCACGACCACGACGACTGGCAGTTAAGTTCACTTATTTTCTTGATTTGAAGCTTATATGTCGTTGAATACAGGTAGACAAAATCCAGCTTCGGTCTAGGACCATGTGGGACTTAACACAGGAGATAATAAAAATCGGTTGTCACTGCTTGAAGTATATTGAGAAAGAAAAACGCCTAGCAAAATTAACCATTAAATAATAATTGCTCCCTATAATAAAATTTAGGCGCTATTAATAAAAATAAGTCTTCATGCGTAAACAGACACCCTTACATGTGGAATATTTTCTTGAAAATTATATAAAACCACTACTACAAAATCGGTTCAGAAATGCTGGAGTTATCGCGTAACACATCTACAAAAAAAAAGGAAAAAAAAACAATACAGTCGAATTGCGAACCTCCTTTATTTGAAGTCGGTTAAAAAGGTACCTTAATTATACAAATGACAGTAACAATCTTCATAAAGCTATACAATCTAAATTAAATAGTGCAGTTGCGATGCTAAAACTTAGTAAATGAGTACCTGTAACTTTACAAATTTGAATGTCTAATTTCCTATCCTACCTACTATTACCTATTTACTTTGTAATCATTAATTTGTGGCAATAGCTCAAGTACAGAACTTGTACTTTATACTTAATCAATTTCCTAAGCAAACTTCTAGACATTCATACGGCTATAATTGCATGAAATACTTCAACCTCTGTCCATGCGATGAGTCCGTAATTTGCTGGGCAGCGGGCAGTATCGTCACCTTCATGGACGTGACCACCAAGCAGACTTGGTTTCGGAGGACCAGCACAGGTGGAAGTGTTGGCAACATCACTGTAAGCTTTGTCTAGAATTTTGCCTTCTGTGCTCCAAGACATTATAAAATCCTTAGTATTTTTATTTTTAATTATATTTTTCTATTCACATTGACTTCCAGAATAAGTTTTTCTATTACGTGGTTGAATTTATGATGAAGATTTGAAATCTAGAAATACTTACTAAATTATTTATCAATCATACAGTCCACTAGTATTGTACTTTTCAACTATGCTAAAAGGCTTCACCGAATTCCGTCAAATATGGATGACCGATACCGATTTCAATGTGCTTTGACATTACAGGTTTACAGAAAAGATCCAAACTATCGTTTAGCGATAGCTGAAGGACGGGAAGGGGATCGAGACCCCTTGATCATAGTATACACCTGGCCACAGATGGAAGTCGATGCTGTGCTCAGAGAAGGCACCGAGAATGCTTACTCTACTATGGACTTCAGGTCAAAAAATAAAAACTAACTTTAGTGCTTAGTGTCTCCTGATATAGATACTTCTTGATTTTTAAACGTTTCTTCACTACCTGCGCTATTTTTTGTTATGGTTGTATAAATAATTATTATGACTATTTATTTCGTCAGTGTTTATAAAACCATGTGGGGTAACTTTGTAATGTGATATCGTTCACGTCTTTTCAAGCTCAAAGGTATTATCGTAGCAAAATAATTGCCTTGGAATTAATATTCCATACAGATCTCGATTTTAATAATCAGAGTTAACAAACTCCTCGAGTCTAAAACACAAATTAGAAATGTCATTTCTTGCAGTCCCGACGGTGAACTTCTGGCTTCAGTGGGCAAAGAACCCGACTATAACTTAACCATTTGGAACTGGAAGCGCCACAAGATTTTGCTACGAACGAGTGCCTTCACTTACGACGTTAACAATGTCATGTTTTCGCCGTACTGCGAGGGTCAACTAACTACAGCTGGTAAATTTGAATAGGACTTATTAACGTTAGGTTATCGTACTTTTTATTGTATTATTCTCACCTTCAAAACGAATAGGCAAATTTGCGAATTTTCGGATTTATTTTCGCATTTATCAATCAATTTTAAACCTCTTTTTTATATAAGAACTCAATAATAAAATACAAACTCGACGTAGTTATTTATATAGTTTTAAAGACAAGATGGATCACGAGAGCTTTTATTTTCAGGTGCTGCTCACATAAAATTCTGGAAAATGGCCCTTACGTTCACGGGTCTAAAATTAAAAGGAGAGCTTGGCAGATTTGGCAAGACCGAAATTTGTGATGTACTTGGTATCTATCCGATGCCAGACGAAAAAGTACGACTTTAAACCGAAATAAAACTAGTAAAAAACATTACCTTTTTGGGAACGATAAGACTAAATGCTGTGCTTTCAGGTCCTTTCAGGTTGTGAATGGGGTAATATACTGGTCTGGGAAGCCGGTCTTGTCAAAGTGGAGGTAACTCAGCGAGGAAGGAAAGTTTGCCACGGAGCACCGATTGTAAGTCTATTCAGATATATTTCAAAATTTATGTAATAATAATGGCTCGTGGTAAATTTCTTTTCATTCCACAACTGGCCAATATACATATACAATCATTTTTACAAAAACCAACAACAATGAACTTCATACATCTACAGATTCAGTTCATGCTTAGTGAAGCACACGACGAAGTGACGACGATCGCTCGCGACGGTTGTATCCGAGCTTGGTACTGGGATACTGTGGAACAGGCCGATCCGCCCGAAGACGACCAATTTGTTGAGCTTAACCCTGTTGCCGAGACATGCGTATAAACTTTCGTACCTAAATAATCTCCTTGTTTGTAAATTACTAGCCCTTGAGACCCCATCCTTGATATACTTACAAGATGTAGAAGGAGCTTCTAAAGTGTTTCCTTTGCACTACGATATGGGGTTCTCCAAAAAGTGACCCAAACGTCTCTCAAGGGCCGGTAACGGTGTTGCAAATATCCATCTGCCATCCATTTCTTTTTTCTTATTCCGCCTAAAGTTGCAGGCTTCATTAAAGGATGATTTAGGTATGTGAATCAATGTTTAGTGTTCATTGACCTACCAACATAGTGTTGCTGTTTACTTGTTGCTGTTCTAATGATAGTTTTTTAATCACTTTCTTCTTCTTCCTGTCCTTATCCCACGCTAGGTGGGGTCGGCACAACATGTATTTCTTCCACTCTCCCCTATCAGCCGTCATTTTTATACTCACACCTTTCTTATCCTTTTTTAATCACTTTACACCTCAAAAATAATATTGTAACTAGTTGTTGTTCCAACGTCATCACATCTGCGGACCTGCCGCCTCGAAATTTTTTTTTTTACCTTTTTGCATTTTAAATGAACTGACTTACTTCTATGCAGGTACCAGACTGTCAAATAATGTCACTTAGACATCAAAAGGACATGTTTTGGTTCGCACAAGTAAGTGTATTTAGGCCGTGTGAGTTGAACTCAAATTTTTGAGCGGTGATTTTTATCCAGGCTGCTAATTTATCCTATAGGATGCCAATGGAGGGATATGGATTGTAGAACTTGAGCTTGACAAACTAGAGTGTCAGCACCGTAAGATCATGACTTCTCACTCTGGACCAGTTATCGGTATAGTGGCTCTACGAACTCATCCCATTCTGATAACTGCTGGCTATGACGGGGCTATAATGGCCTACAATACGGAGACGCATACTTTACTTGCTAGATACAAGTTTCCTGCTGCGATTTCTTGTTTATTGTATCCACCCTTGGATGTAAGTACCCAAATGCAGCTCCGTACGTTTACTTCTTATGAACTTTATTTACTGATTATGACTTCACTCTGGTATATTTGTACGAACCTGCAATAAAATATTTATTATTATTATTATTATTATACCTCATTTATTTACCTGGGTACCGAAACGTCAAGTATTTTTAACGTAAATTACAGGTTGACGAAACATCTTGCATAATAATTTTTGGGTTTGATGACGGGATCCTACGAGTCTTATTTTTCCACCCTGATCGAATCCTACAGCAAAAGGATCTGGTCGATATACGGGTACATTCTGCGTTAACCATTCATAGCGATATGTCTGATCACGCTGACATTATTGACATGATATCCGTAAGTATCGCCTATGATATCACTATCATAAGACAAAAGTTAAGGTGGTTATAATTTCAACCTTGTATGCACACTAAGTGAGATCCATGAAGAAGATGTGCCACAGGATGCGATTCGCCACCATGCGATTTGGCGGCAACGGTGGTGACGGTCAAACGAAACGTCCTTTCTCTAATACAATCCACCCGGTCATGCAGTGCCGTATATACTATACCTACACGTCAAAGCGGCAAATAGATACACTACCAGCTACTGCAACGGGCGGATTTGTACAACTAAACAACATTTGGACAAGTAAACCACGCGCCAAATCCACCTCGGTATAGACCCAACACCTCATTGCAGACTATAACATCTACCTAGTCAGTATTAACTTTAGTCTAGATTCAATTGATCGTGTGTTTTGTTACCAGCTATTGAAACCTCACTCAAAATCGATATCACAAATAACAATAAACGCACAACGTTCGCGTCTGGTCACATGTTCCACTGATTCCTCCATATTTATCTACAAGCTCATTAATGGAAGTCCATTTCAATTGTCGCCAATTGGATTCATTGAAACTCCTAATAACATTGCATATATGACTTGGAAACCTGAAGAGGTAAGATCCATAAAATATACTACAGTTTTCCCTTTCTTTCAGAAGCGTACCACCAAAATAAAGTCTTTGGTATTGGTGAGTAACCAAAAACATTGCTGAAATTCACACCCTAAACATGTTTTCGTTATGCTAAAAATATCATTTTCTTATTAAAAAGTTAATATATGACGACATTACCATATACGAGGGCAGTTTGATAAATACGTGACTTTAGGGTTAAATAAAACTTTCAGAATTTATTTTTATTTCTTAATTTAGAACTCCTTACTAACCGCAGGCGTTACTTTTTTAAATTAGCGCGAAAAAAAATGAAATAAAAAGAGGTCGATATATATTTTCTAGGTGGAGAAAACAGAATTTCGAGCATTCCGTTCATCATCTACAATCTGAATATCAAAACTTATCGAATTATAATATGAACTGTTGCCGAACCCTCCGTATTCACCTAATTTGGCCCCATTTGACTTTTTATCTAATCTTTTTACCGATTTGCATCGAATGAGGATGGAAGTGATAGCTGAAACAGAGGCTTATTTTTCAGTTTGAAAGAAAAATAGTTTTTTGATGGGTTGATGAAGTTGGAATATAGCTGGTCAAGGTGTAAAGAGTTAAAAGGAGATTACGTAGAAAATAAACCGGATTTTTTTTTAAACTGTTGTTTTTCTCAAAGTCACGGTCTTATTAAACCGCCCGCTCGTACTTCAAGGCAATTGCGTTTCATTGACTTTTTAGTATAGCCATCCTTTTCTTCTATAACACCAAAGTTCTCTTAGGAATTTACAATATTACTATGTGGACAAGTGGGTTTTATCATGGAAGCGATTCTACCAAGCATTGATATTCGGAAGTACTCTGATATAACAACTTTCAAGCTGGAATTTGTATCTTCTAAAGAAACCCTTGTGAAGAAACAATTGTAAGTCGCGCATTATTATATTATTTATTATACTAATTTCAGTACAAATTTCCATTATATCAGTTAATATATTCGTAATTCTTCCACGCCCTTTTGCCTGTTAAAGCGAAAACGACACTAGAGTTCATTATCACCTTGGGCCAAAACCGAAAAGCCAATGACTAAAAGAATTCGAGAATATTTTGCGCTGGGTACTTGATCATCAAGAAATTTATCTTATTGTTTTATATTTGAAATATTACATTCTGATTCTAACTGTTTAATACGTAATGTTCAGTATGCGCTATAGACCATTTCCTACTGAAGAAGATTTAGCAAGTTTAGACGAAGAGGCTCTGAAAGCAGCTGCGGAAGCGGCCGACGACAAAGAGGACGAAGAAGGACAAGGCTGGTTGGGTGAAGTCCAACTAAGTAAGATTTTCTTCGCAATTCCTATGTTCGACGATGCTTTATCTAAAGTGTTTACCTACTTAGGGTTCACGAAAGGAGTCTCCCTGCACACATACACTTTCTTTTCATGTACTTACGTCTGGCGCAACCTGAGCAATAATCGGCGAGTGGTTTAAATCATCTTAAATGCTGCGTCGACTTTATCTCATGTCTTACTATAAATGATAGTGGTGCACTTTTACTTCTTCCGGTGGGCTAAAATGTATTTTCAATTAAGGTGCAGTCAACAGCAAGCTAAGCGCACTCAACTAGTATAATTTATGCCAAAGTTGATAGAATAAAACCGGGATAGATGCCGCAGTGGGATAGGTGCCTCGTTTTCAAAAAACCTAACTTCCCCAAATCGCAACAAAGAATAATTCGTTTAAATAAGGAGTATAGACACCACTCATCAAAGTTCCTGCAGGGCTTCGTGTGGAATGGACACGTTTGGCTTGTTTATCTCCGCGACGAACACGACAAACGGTTTAAATTTTCAGACGCAAGTATTTACTGTCACAGAACTTTGTAAGTTATAATAAATTCCGTTTTATTTTTATTATAACTATACTGGTTCATTAACTGCGCACCTAGGTGCCAATAATCGCTCTTTTGTATATAGCTTAGTTATATAATAAAAGGGCATCTATACATATCGAATAAGATAGTCGCCTCGATTTTTCGCGGTATATGTGCCCTTAGAGGTAAAGGACATGACAAGAAAGTTAGGAAAAGAAAATAAAAAATACATTATTTTAGTGAAAAAGACAAGTAAATGATAATAGTTTAAAAGTAAGTAAAAGTACCCAAAAGACAAATTATTCACATTTGAAGCAGCGAACATTTTTGTATAGACTGTTTTGATAGCTATAAAAAACGAAGTGAACTAAGTAGTAACTTTAAATACGTATATATTTATTATCAAAAATGTAATATGTACAGACAATATTAAAGGTTACAAATAAAACATTTTATTATGAATAAAATACTATTTTATTCTAAAGGTAAGCATCTATCCTCAAAAAAATAGGTTTGCAAAAAGTCAATTTCTTCAAAATCAGTAAATGTTAGATCAATAAAATCAAGTCTTAATGTAATGTAAAAGATGAAACTAGTTATATCCATAGGAATTATTCATGGTAAACTAATAATTTTTAAATTAGGAGGCCCTTTCAGAAAGTGGGACATCTAACCCGGTTTTACCAAATTACAAAAAGTATAAAGCCCCAGCGTTGTTGACTATAAAATAATCAGATGAGTTGGCATTCTGCAGTGGAAAGCGAAAGTCAACTTGGCACCACTATCACATGGGCAGAATACTGTGCAGAAGGCGTTTGGGTGGTCCAAAAAGAAACCGGGGCCTTGCTCTTGATAAAACCAGGAAGCAACAAGATTTACAAATACGCGCCTTTTCCTGATGCTTGGTGTGAAACTATGGTCTCAGTAAAATTTATGTAAGTTTAATTCGTCGACTATTTGTTCATTCTTCGTTACAACCCTAAAAATGATTCATACGTATCGGAAATACTATCTTTTCGGTTCTAAATCGCGTAAATTTGATTTCAAACAAATAAACGTTTCGGATTCTTCACAGGTTTTTTGAATCATTATTGCTATTTGCAGATGTGACCACCGTTACATCATGTTGGGCTCAAATACAGGATACATTCGTGTGATAAGAATGCCTACTACAGAAGAAGATAATCCTGCAGTTCATCTCAACATATGGTTGATTGCTCAGCAGAAATTGATGAAAGCACTTAAGGGAAGACGATTGAGGAAAGAAGAGGTACTCTGTTAATTTTTTTATTTCAACGGCGTAGAGGCATCGTAATATTTCTAGTACTAGAGCACCTGTGATTATCGAAAACTTATTTTGATTTGTATTCTTTCAGAAACAACCAATTCCACGAATAGACTTCATTGACTACTATTATTTACCAATGCACGACCAATACACCGGGAGCATACGGTGTTTCGAATTCAGTGCTGATGCAAAGTATGTAAAATAAAACTTACGAAATTCATCAATTTTTATTATTGAAATTGAAATTCTATTACAGGTTTTTATTTACTTGCGGAGACGATGGTAACATATTTGCTTTCATTATAAATTTCGAAGAACCTCTAGTTCCTAAAGCCGAAGCCCCTTTACCAGAACATTTAGTAAGTAACCGACACATGATTTTAATATTTTCTTGATAACTCATATTAATTAAACTCGCATATTATATAGCCACTGGAAAAAGTAAAAGAACCTAGCACAATCGAAGGAGAAATTATGTCTCATGAACAATTGAAACAAAAAGAAGAGTACGACAAAATGATGGCCATTGCGAATGCTCACAAGAAACGAGTTAGAAACCAGCTTGCAGAAATAACCATTGAATACAACAAGCTTATAAGATTGTGAGTTCACTTAGGCGTTCCGGAACTCTTGATTTTTCAATGGCGTTATTGTAATTTAATTGATGCCTTTGTAGAAACCGCCATTTACCGTATTCCCAACAAATCGACGTGACCCTAGATCCTCGGCCTCTGGAAGTGCAAGAAAGAGAACTCGACGAATTGAAGGCTCTGGCTAAAAGAAAAGTCGCTCATCAGTTGGAAGCTTCTGATTTAGCCTTATGGAAAATGCATTCCCGGAATATTATCCAGTTGGATGTTTTTCCTTTTACAGTACTGGCTATCAGGTAACATTAAATGAGATTTATGCAGTGTAAGATTCATTACGACTAGGTTCTATCTACTACTTATTTTGATTCAGGGATCCACTAGTAATGATAAGACCTCTAAGACAGAAAAACCTGTCCCAAGCTTTTTGGGACCAGCTCGAAGAAGTTTACCAAAAAATGGCTGAGGCTGCTCTGAAAGCAAGGTAATTCGTGGAAGTTAGTTGCGGTTGTGAATCGCTGTAAGGAGTCAAAACATCGTTAATGTTCTCTTCATTAATAATAATATACTTCTTGCGTGTTGCACGCTGACATTAGGAAATACGAAGAACTAAGGTTATTAGTAGAAACTGAAGAAAAGAAGTAAGTTTGCAAGTGCGTTTAATGTGATTTTGTTATGTGCACGTTTTGTTATGTACGTATGAAACACAATCATTAGTTCAAGCCTAATATCGCGTAAGAAGATATAAAGCATGTTTTTTTTTTTTTCAAAATATTTAGCTTGTGTTTCAAATATTGCTTTCGACGCCTAGATAAGAAAGAAGAGTGACGAATTACGTGTATGAGTCCAAGAGAGTCAATCGCTGAATCAAGGAAGATTTTTGTTTTATTAGGTTTTGTACACGTTATATTACGTATATTTCTTCTTCATTATTGTAACGGTCTGACACTAAATATTATTAATCTAGGCGTACGGACTCCACGTCCCGCCGTGGTCCTACCAAGAGGACATCGTGGGGCCCACCAAGAGTAGCATCTTTTTTGCTCGGATTACCTCCACACCCGCCACATCCTTTAGTAAAACAAATCCGCAATTACTATGAACGACTATCTCGGCATCACGTTCAATTCATTGAGGTAATATATACCATAGCATAGTATAATACGACTCATCCGTAGAACATCATGAGTAGTGCCTACCTATGTGCAAGACTGCTTATTCTCATTACTTTGTACATTTCGTTCGCTGTTCTGAGCTGTGGATATCAGATCGACCTTTGATCGATTTTATATTTCCGAAACGAAATAATACAAAAATTCTGAAAACACCAAAGGCTAGGCCTTATTTTGAATAACGAGGTTATGTATTTATCCTCTTTTCGTCGTATAACCACATCGGACTCTGTTCTTCGGATGAGTCGAATAGGACAAGTATGGTAACTCCATACAAACGTAGCACCGTGGCTTGTATGTTTATGCGCTCTTTAACCTGATTTCCGACTTTTCGTAATATACCCATACTGATAGCCGACCGTCTCCAACTACTTGGAATGGACCTGTCGTCCTATCTGAAGTTCGGCAGATACGTTGAATCCAAGGCCAAAAATGCAGCCAGGAAGCTTGGCATCCTTTTCAAGGTGACGCGTTACTTTACACCAGGACAGTTGCTTCAGCACCACCAAGCACAAGTCCGGCCATGTATGGAGTACTGCTGGCACTCATGGGATGGCTCTGCTAAATACCAACTGGCCACCTTGGATTCAGTCGACAAGCGTGTCAAGAGGCTTATAGGTGACTCGGAATTAGTAGAGGCGAAGCTGTAGAACCTTGAACACCGCCGTGAAGTTGCCTGCTTATCGGTATTCTACAGGATATATGACGTGCGATGGGATTGCATGATTTGATTCCGCCTTCCCCTTTCCATGATCGAGAGACTAGACGTGAATAAGAATTCTGGTAATGTCCTTAACACAGGAGTGGGGGTTCCACTCCTGTGTTGTGGATATTACTAGAATTAGCACGAAGCGTTTCGCTTCCACATTTATTCGGCAAGCGGCGCGCACACACCCATAGCCCTGCTTTACTAGGGAAACCCTGTATCGCGGGTGCCATGGGCACACACATAGACAACCACAAATTACACCCAAACTCACGAGAGAAATAAATATAGGCCATACAAATATTTCTCCCGCCACGGGAATCGAACCCGACGTTCGTCGGTAACCGTTCGGCCACGGAAGAGTAAGTGCTGTGCGTTGCCTCTGTATCACATTTATTCACACATTGTCAAATATTAACGTCTCTTCTGCTTTTATGTTTTAGTGGCAGGAACATTTATCTCGCAAACCTGATCCAAATGCATTACCCCCTGGGTCTGCGGAAGCTCTTAAAGAAGCTGAAGCTACTATTGGAAATCGTCTTCTGAAAACACAAGGCGACTACGTTGCACCGCCAGGTCATAATACACAGTTGAAAGTATGCCTGACTAGACAAGAGGTACGTCTAGGTGTATCTACTGGAAGTTGTCTGTACTTGTTTTCTCTTCTTTGTGAAAAGTTTCCCAGATTAAATTTAATTTACCTTTACCAGATATACGAGAAAAAGCATGCATTCAATTTAAAAGTTCTCGAACTACGTGATCATAAATTAAAATTAGTTGACAAAATGAAGAAAATTGGAGAGAGGCTCATGGAAATTCGTGTGGAAATCCCACCAAAAATGGCCAAAGATCCACCCGCGATTCCGGAAATTGATGAAAACCTCGAATTTCCAGAGAAAAACCTTGAGGTATAGTACATTTTCAAACGATTTTGTAGGTTTCTTTTACTTTTGTTTACATATGAGTATTATTATTATTATTTTTAGATCAAACCAGAAAAGATATCTATGCCATCTAGAATACCAACGACCTCCAAGAGAGCGTCAATATCACTCGAACGCAGAAAGTCGGGACATGCTCCTTCGCTGTATCCTCTACCAAGAGTGCGACAACCTAAAGTACCGCGTTTCGTTCCACTAATTGGTAAGTAAATATATCGTTAGCTATGCCTATACTTGAATTTTAAAAAACTGCTGCGTTGCTTTAAAAAATATATAAAATCCTTGTTTTAATAACCGACATAATATACCCGAGATGTGAAGGTGATCATAGTAAAAATAGTAGTAAATACTTTTAACATCACTACTCATGATGTTATTAGACTTAAATTTATTACTTCATACAGAAATTCGCCCACTTGCCGTTTCTTGGGAGTACGTTAAGCCTAGAAGCGACGATCAGACACCGTATGAAGTCGAAATACGAGAGAGACGTATTGAAAGGCAAGAAGTTTTATGAAAACGTCATATATCATGTAACTTATAATATACAATTATATAAAAATTGATAACTCGTACATAATAAAAAATTTCAGACATCTCTATGAGCAAGACATGTTATTAGCAGATGCAGAGATATCAGTTCAAAAGTTTGATTCACGGCTGAGACAGCTGCAAAGAGAACGCATACGTGTTCAGGTATCTAAAAACCAATCTTCGTAATATAATCGGGAGTACCTATTTTTAATATCACATAACTTATTACCAGATATCACTAATATTCCTTATAACTATTATAACCAGAGCACATTTACCAAAACTTCATGGAATAATACATACAGTGATTAATATCTACCTCCATACCTCATTCTCATACCTACCTCTGAAAACACGGAATTATTGTATTGTATTTTGTTCTACATTTTTTATATTCTTTTTTTATGATGGATGGGACGAACAAGAGTGGCAAGTGGTTGTAAGCGACCTACCGACAACATTTGCGGTGCCGTGAGTGAATGAGGGATGTAAAGCTGAACAACTTCCACATTTATGTACCAGTAATTTCACCAGCAGATCGCACTAGGAAAACTCTTCAGAACCGGAATGCAGTAATGTTTACGTTACTGCTTGGCGGCAGAAATAGATACGATGGACGAGCTCTTTCTTGTGAAAGATCTAGTTGTGCAGCTCTACTGCAACTGATATGTAACTAGCTTTAATTACTTTACTGTAGCGTTAGTACTTAGAGGAAAAGTTTATTACTACTTTGTTTACATTTTTGCTTTTTATTTAATTTATTTATAATATCTAGTGACGAGACGAACAAGTCGTGCACCTGATGGTAAGCTACACGCTTGTCCATAACAGTTGCAGTACCACTCAGAGCTTTAAACCACATAGATCTGAAGGGTAGTGACACTGCGCCCATCACCCTTAGACATACGTTGACAAGTCCCATGTGCCTGTAATTTCACCAGCACCCTTACCCTTCGAAACCGGAACACAGTAATGCTGACATTATTGCTTGGCGGCAGGAATAGATAAGGTGGCAGTACTATCCTGAACGAACTCTTTCACAAGGAGCTCTACTACTACCAAATTAATGTATTGTGCATCACTTGAAGTTTTGGTAAATATACTCTACCTGTTCTGAAGTTTGTTAATAACAAATATTGTTATTAGGAGAAAAATCAGCTCCTGGAATTACATCTTTGTCAAACACATCTTGAAATGAATGTCTTGAATCGATTTGAAGCACATGAAGATCGTTTAGCCGAAAAAGTGTATACGAAATTGATGCAGGTAAATTGTGGTCAAATACATTACTGTTACTTATTGTTTTGTAATAATATCAAGCATCCTCCTGTGTCTTAGGTTAAAGCAGTTCAAGATCAAATTAAAGAGTGTGAGCTCCGAATTCAAGATCACATATCTGATAAGGTAGACAAAGGCATCAAATGTGAAGAAGCACAAGCGCAATTTAAGAAATTAGTTCACGATAATAAATTCGCGGACTTTTTACGCAGAATCTTTAAGAAAAAATATAAGCCGCCGCGTGACAAAGATGACGATGGTAAATATATTTGTAAAATCATTAGTATATTGCTAAGCACAAGGTACAATTGTCTCTTTTTTGTAGAATCGACTGAATCTGAATCATCATCTTCATCGAGTGAAGAGGAGGATGAAGGAAGTCTTGATAGCCGTGATATCGGACCTATTCGCCTAGATCCGAACATTTGTCCCGAAGGCTGTGACCGCGATGTTTATGACAAGACTTTCGAGCTAAGAAATTTGAGATGGACACATGAGCAGTCAATGATGGAAATGGACCGCTTGGTAGAACAGCTAAAAAGAGATATTGATGCACATAATAAAATCAAACGTAAGCTGTCTGTTCAGCTTGACAAAAGGAAGAATGATCTGAGAGAATTCATGGTGAGCAATGTTTTTTCTATTTTCCTGTACCCGAACGTCTCAAAACAACAAATATAAATATTATGTTTAATACAGTTGGAGAAACAAAGCTGTTTGAACGAGATAGACCAGGTGGTAGTACTAAGGTACGACCAGATAAGAGCTAGTGCTATCAAGGGCTGTACCGGCCCGGAGGGATTATCCAAGTGCATTGTATTCCCAGAACAAATGCTGAAACGATTGCGCAAACGAGTTCTGGAAATTCAGGAAGAAATTAGACTCCAGAAATTGCGTGCAAAGTTAGTAACTTTCACTTTAGCATTAGTTGTACTTCATATTTCAAATGCCAAGTTTTTTTATCCCGTGTTTCAGAATAAATCGCACTCATCTATTTCGTATGAACATAGATTTACGCGAAATGGAAAGACAGGCTGAAGAAATCCGTGCACAAATGCGTGATGTTCTCACTCGCAAGCTTGGAAAACCTCGTAAAGTAGATAAGACTCTTGATGAGTTGCTGCGCCAGATGACTAGAAGACACAAGTTTTCCGTCAACCTTAAGATCATGCCCCATATACTTCATCAGTTGAGAGATTGGCGGGTTCGATTTAATTAATTCTCGTTTTCATTAAATTATAAGATGGTGATGTAAGTATTGTTCTATTTTGTTTTTATTCAGGATCGTTATTGCGAATTGGAGAAGCGTTATTTGAATATTCTAAATAATTACTCAGAACGCCTTCGTTTGGCAGCTGCTTTACAGAGCGATATTGTACCCGTAAAGGTAACTTATCTACTAATACCTAATTAATAATACATGTATTTACAAACGAGTCAGCGAATTTTAAATTGTTATTTTACTCTCTTGTATAGCCAACATCAGATCCTTCCTCTATGTACGGAGGCTATGACATAAATCAATACACTCGGGATGTAGTGCGGCTAAAGATTGTTCGTCAACAACAGAGGTATCAGATAACGGTTGGTACCTAAGTCAAACTCTTTTAAGTGCATGATTTAGCTTGTCATTTATAAATGTTAACATTCGAATGATACAGGCACTGAAAGATGAGATCCAGGGCCTGCGCTTCAAGTCACAAGGATATTCTCATACGCTAAAGACAGAAGAACCTCCGTCTACAGTTCCTTCTGAGATTGAACTGTTCCAGGTGCCTAGAACTCAATGGTGTCCTCGTAAAAAATATTTTCCAATGTACGGTTTGCACTGAATTTATTTGTTATTTATTATTATTCCTTTGTGAACATCAATGGGCGATGATAGAAGTACCTAGTGCGGGCTGAACTGGCAACACACTACCAAACTTATTATTATTATTTACCTACTCAAAAAAGGAACAATAATAGGTATCAAAGCCTATAGTATAAAATTTAATAATATTTCAGAACTCCACTAGGATCACAAACAGCATTGATTTACGACGTGAATATAATGAGACTGATTTATGACGCGCTGGATTTAATGAAGTTCTCACGGGAGAACGCTGATTCTCTGCTCAAGGAGCTATCTGCAGAAGTTCCAGAAATGCTGACTGGGTAAAAACTAGCGCAAGTTGAACATTCTAGCGATTAAAGTCAAAATCAAATAATCATTTATTCCATAGATAACATTTTTACACTTGCAAACGTAATTTTTTAAAACTACTTGTCGTTCACTACGCTGACCTCTCTTTTCAAATAAACTTAAATGCTATAGAATACATTTTGAATCAAATTTGTGTGGAATCTAGACTCACATTGTCTTTCCATGTGTCCTTATCTAACACGTAGTCACAATTTTGTAATATAACTTATCAATTAAAATGCTTTTAATGTAAGTTTTAAACTTAGGAAATGGTAATCTTAATATTATGTGTCCCGGAATTTCATTGTAAAAGGATTTACAGTTCCCTTAGACTTAGTTCTAAGGTTAATGTTATGGATATCTTCTTTCGTAACGAAATTATGAAAATTTTTATGGCCATACAAAATATTTGAGTAAATGTACTGTGATGCCACAGTCATGATACCAGTCTCCTTAAACTTTTCTCATAGAGAAATCCAAAGAACCTAAATGGTACACAGAGCGAATCGCTCGTTTTTGCAACACAAATATGGTTTGTATATCTGACGCTTCAACCCACATGAGAATCCCGTAAGACATTATACTATGGAATACTATGGAAGTAACTAATGTAAACTAGTCTAGCAGTAGCAACATCGGTAAGCTCACATATTCTACGGACTGTGTATGCGGCAGAGCTTAATCTGCTGGCCAAGGACGATATATATGGAAACCATTGGTGTTTACTATCTAATGTCACACCCAAAAGGGCAGCTATAATAACAAGGGCCAACTTTTCTCCATTTATTTTTTATGATTGGGCTAGTCTATTTTACATTAGGTAATTCAAATTTAACAGACTTTGTCTTCTTGGTAGCAATAAATTGTTAATACTAAACCAGTTTATTGAAAGGGTATCATTAATATTGTCATAGTTAACGTCATGTTTTAAAAATAAAGGATGTGTCGTCAGCAAACAATACTATTTCGCAAAGGTCCTTAACAAAGAATGGAGATCATTAATATAAATGTGAAATAAGAAAGGTCCAAGTATTGAGCACTGCGGAACACCCATTTTTAACGGAGAACCCAAAGAAGTCACTCCTTTTATGTCTACTTTCTGAATTCTACCGTTATGATATGACGAGACAGGTTCGAACGCCTTGCCACTTACTCCGTAATATTCCAGCTTCCTTATAAGAGTAATATGACCCACGCAATCAAATGCCTTTGGGAGGTCACAGAAAACCCCAATAGCGTTCTGGAACCTTCCCAAGCATCAAAGATATATTTTCGTAGTGCTACCCTCGCATCGCTAGTCGATCTACCACTAGTAAACCCATATTATTCACTATGAAATATACGATTCCCACCAAAATACGACATTAGTTGAGTCAACATAACCTTATCGATTTCTCCTAGAATATTTTTTGTCCTGTTAAAAGACAGGCTAGGGTCAAAGACTATAACTACCTTGTGTTCAGTGGTGAGTTAGTGATCTAGTTCGGTAAGTAAATGTCGTTAGTACCTACACTATTTTTCTTATTATTTCCTCTTCATCATTAGTATAATTCATTCATTAAACTTATGAATATTCGTCTTTTGTAAAATCCAGAAAGTCAACGTCCTTATTCTGTTCCTCTCCCCTCATCTATTTCTTCATCTTAAATCAAATCCGATAAATGACGAAGTAATACAGCTGTAATTCTTCGTCATTTATTTATTGCCTTACATCTAACGTCAAATTTCTAATTGCGAGTCTTGTGCACATGCAGGGCCAAATCTCGTTATGAAGTAGTAGATCAAATACTGAAGAAATGGCTGCTGAAACACGGAGGAGATCCAAGCCAATATAAAAAGCAAACACGCGCCTTCGACGCGCTTGGTGCTGTAGCCGATTGGCTTCTTCGACAACACGTAATTAATTAGTATACTTAATTCGTCTTTATTTATTCATAACATTAAGGAAAGGAGATTAAAACAAAGAGAAATCTATAGCGAATCAATATATAAAGAAATCTATATATTGATTTGTAGTTAGTAGTAACTTATTCTTATACTTCTTCGTACAGATCTGGCGAATGCGCCGCAAATGCCTGTTTGCGAAAGGCTTGCGAGCTGCACACGTGCATTACCTCGTGCGACCTGTTCGCATGCCGTAAGCGTGCCCCTTGCACGCTACATATATATTAACATATATGTACTTAATTGCACGCATGCAGCACGCGTTCGCGGCGCATTCGCCAGATCTGTACGCACCCTAAAACGAAATCTATTTCTGTCAACTACAGATCGAAACCATGGAAGGGCAAACTCAACAAACTCATGCAGTTATGACTCAACTTGAAGAAGCACTGAAAGATATAGCTGGTAATGCTGAAACTTTGGAAAAACGTTTAGGACCCGCTTTGGCCGCACTCTTTCAATCGGCTGAGATGTTTGACTTAGGTTCGTTAAATTTTATAACAACGTAAATATACTATTTCTATTAATATCTTACAATATTTTTTTTTAAATCATTTTGGTCCAGACACTGAAGAAACAATGACATCGCTAGTAAAGGCCGTTCTGTCGGACGACGAAATGATAATAACTCAAGAAATGATCGCGAATATAAATGCACATAACGTGATATCGAATATTCAAGGTAAGTTGTTGCCCCATGTGAATTTAAATGATGGTGTAAAAAAAATAAAAGCCCTCTTCAAAACGTGGCAAGCGTCCGGCTCTTCTGAAGACCGCGACGCATATAGGGATGCCAAACGTGCCGCTAAGAAAGCTGTAGCCAGAGTCAGACGGGACCACCTGCAGCCGTTGTACGACAAGTTGGAATCGTCTGAGGGGCAGAAGCTTATCTTTAAGCTGGCACGTTCGAAGGTCTTAGCGGCACAAGATATTTCCAAGTGTCGCTGCATTAAAGACTCTCGTGGCAACCTTATGCGAGGTCGACGCGGTGAAGGAGAGATGGCGCTCATATTTCCACGAGCTGCTGAATCAGCAGCACAGAGAGGTGCAGCCACCGATCCTCCCTCCGAATCAGGGACTAGTGCGACCGGTAACGCCTGAGGAAGTCCACTTAGCTCTTTGTCTCATGATGAATCGGAAAGCTGTCGGAGCCGATGGGGTTCCCATCGAGGCCTGGAAGGCAATGGGTCCCCGTGGTGTGGGCACCCTTACCGGCCTCTTTAATCGCGTGCTCCTCACCTGTAAAATCCCTAACCAATGGAGACTGAGTATTATCACTCCAGTCTTCAAAGGGAAGGGATCGGTGCAGGAGAGTGTGGCGATTATCGGGGCACAAAGGTCATGTCCCACACCATGAAGCTCTTCGAGCGTATAATAGACTCTCGGATCCGACAGGAGAGTGCTGTCTCGGGGGGTCAATATGGGCTTCGGCCCGGCAAAGGGGTACCAGAAACTTATATTGACATCATCCGAGACTTGTACCGCGATTCCGATTACATGGTTAGGACTGCTGTTGGTGACACTAAACCCTTCCATGTCACAGTCGGAGTTCACCAGGGCTCAGTTCTCAGTCCCTATCTGTTCAGCGTGATATTAGACGAGGTCTCAACCTCCATCCGAGACAAGCATCAGCAACCCCCGTGGATGCTTATGTACGCTGACGATATCGCGCTGGCGGATGCGGGTAGAGGGAGACTGGTACGACGAGTGAATGTGTGGAAGGTGTCGCTTGAGAACGGCGGTCTGAGACTAAATGTGGCAAAGACTGAGTACATGGTCTGCAACGCTACAGATCCCCTACCCGTACGCATAGGCAGTCGAGCCTACGGGCCAGTTTAAATACTTGGGATCTGTACTTAGCGCGTCCGGAGACATCGACTGCGACGTCAGAGCCCGAATCGCAGCCGCTTGAGCAAAGTGGCGTGAGGTGACTGGTGTCATTTGTGACCCCAAGATTTTTAAGTTAAGCTAAGAAAGGACAGGTCTATAAATCCATCATTAGGCCTGTCCTTTTATATGGCAGTGAAACGTGGCCCGTACTTGAGCGTCATAAGCAGGAGCTGCGTGTCACGGAAATGAACATGCTGCGCTGGATATGTGAAGTTTCACGGAAAGACCGTGTCAGAAACTACCGCAACCGCGGCAGCCTTCACGTCCGTGACATTGCAGATAAACTGCAAGAAAGCCGCCTACGTTGGTACGGCCACATCTTACGGAAACCGGCATGATACGTGGGAAACAAATGTCTGGCTATGCCACCTCCGCTGGGCCCCGGTAGAAGGGGCAGACCCAAGAAGTGCTGGCTGACGTCGCCAAGGGTGATATGCGTGCCAATGGTCTCACCACTAAGGATGCCGAAGACCGTGCAAAGTGGAGGAGAAAAAGTAGGAAAGCGGACCCCGGGCTCCGCAGCAACACTGCTGAGGACGCAACCGGGACAACGCTCAGATGAGAGAGAGAGGTGTAAAAAAATAAATTTGCAAATATAATTAAACTTAACCGGGTTAACTTCCACAGCTTGCGGTGTATCCAACATATCAACAGATGAACTCGAAGATATTGTATTATTAGCAATTGATTGCTTAAGAGCACAAATCGTTCCACCTGATGAAAAACGGAAAATTGAAGAAGAGGTTGACTCAGTCATAGCTGCTGCTAAGGTTATTAAGGCAAGTATTTACTCTCATTATTATGCTTAGTAATATAAGTTACGCGCACACGCATCAATGAAGTTTGCAACTGTTATACTACGTATAAGAGCGGAAAAAGACACGGCAAAACTGCGTTTATCCCGCTGTTAAGCGATGACTCCGTGGAGATTACCAAATTTTGTTGATATGTATATTTGCTTATTAAAACGTTTTCTAATGTAGGACTCCGAGGTACGGCTATCTACCAGTGCCGTTATTGAAAGCAGTCGGCTCAGTAGCCGCAAATCAAGTCGAACCAGCAAGGGTACAGCAACCAGTAAATCGGGTAAGACGGAAAGGACTTCCATGGAATCGATTGCTAAATCGAGCAAGACGGAAAGGATTTCCATGGATACGATTGCTAAGGATACTGGTGAAAGTAAACGAGGCAGCGAAACTACTACTCCAACAGAAAAGGCGGAAGTTGAAAGTGATGCCGAAACCACGCCCGACGATAAAGGCTTAGATTAATTTTTGTTTCGAATTTGGGCCGCTTTGCTGGCATATCTACTGATTGGTTGTATTCACGTCACTGTATACGTACAAATATAATATTTGGGGTACCTAATAAGTTGTTAAATAAGAATCTGTAGTTGCAGATTGAGTTGACGTCTATACTGAAAAACTTGCCTTCCGTTTCTATTCACTAAGCGGTTACACACTGCGACTTTTGGCAGCGGTTCAGTAGCGATGCAATCGCAATCGCTTATACACGCGCGACTTAAGCAGCAACACAGTCGTAAGGCAAACGCGATGCAATCGTCATACCCCTTTTTTCCTATATCTTTGCGTAATACAAACGCGATGCACGTTTTTAATGATTCAACATAAGCGCCTGAACATATATCGCGCGCTGTGTCGCACGTTTCCACCGATGCCACCGCCTATAAACCACAAGTATCACGATGCAATCGCGCGTTTTGATGTCCCGGATAAACCGGTTTTGACGCTGACTTTATAGAAACCACATATTTTATTGGTATGAATTATTTTTCTGGCATTTTTTTCATTTACACTTGTAACTGATTCTCAGGTACGGGTTACTTTTTTAAAAAGCTGAACGCTATGTCATCATTTACGATATTGTAAATACATTTTTCAATGAAGATTTTCAACACATTGCATATCTTTAATTGCTCATCGTACTCACTTCTACACATTATTTACTTCTTATTAATATGCAATAAATGCAATAGGTACTATTCTGGAAATTTGTTTATTATTTCGGCACATAGTTGTTCCTTCCTGTAAGATACTATACCCTACTGATTTGTGTAAAAATGAAAAGCTGAATTTTGGACGTGGCTTGTTGTAACTTAAAATACCCGCCGGCTAGCTGGTACTCCCTTACTACGTCCAGGATTTAGACGAGTAAACTACTTTGCAGTGCATCACTGCCGTGCACAATCTAGCTCGTGACCAACGAGGTTTCCATAATATGTTATGCTCGCTCCTACTGGTAAGAGCACGAGGATTGAACTTGTCCCGAACGATTAGCGAGGGTCCATAATTATTCCTACAAGCGAAAATCATGGGTCCATGATAATTTGATGAATCATAACGTAAAAGGTTCCGAAAAACAAATGAAATTGCAGTTAACTTAGGCTAAGATATGTTAAAATGATTACTGAAATAAATATTAAATATGCCTTTCTACCTACCTCATATTTGACCTTAGAGGAAGTTTCCATAGTCTAAGTATTTAACAAACAACCAAGAACTTGTTCAAATCACAATCTACGAAAAAAACTGTGTTTCCAAATTAAACTTCCGAAAGAAATAATAACGTGCCGATTTAACCTATCCTATGTTGTCACTGTGACAATAAGCAATACTCTTTGCATCTTAGAGGATGGAAAAAATAAACTTTACGTGCATGATAGAATTGTTTCACAAGTTTGGTAGGTCAATGTTCTTTTATTTTTTTTCCATCCTCTAAGGTCAATGTTCGCGCCCCGATGCGGTAAGAGTGTGGTAGTTGGACCTTCCGTTTAATTTCACATAATATTGCCGCTAACAGATGGCGTTGTACTTAAAATACACACATGCTATCAAACCTAAAAATATCAAAGCATATAAGAACTAGACATGTTATGCAAACAAGAAACAACCCACACCTCGAGTGAAATTGAGTTATGTATTTAGGTAGAACACCAGACGTGTCCTTTACCCACTCACAAAAGATCCTAGCAACATACCAAGCCAAAACCGAGAAAATAAAAGTCCTTCCAGAGTACCAACCCTAAATAAGTAACTTTTTAATAGCTAAAAAGAACCTTGCTGCTTAACTCAATATAATGTCTTTTTAAAAATATGCTAAAAGGATCCATGTCACATGTACTGAAGTACTGTAGATCTTTGGCATTTTAATTACAAAAACTAGAACATGGTTCTCGTTAACTAAATAAAAAGAAACATAATGTTTTCTATTTATTGCTATATAATATAAAAGTTTCCCTATATCGTTCTCACTGCTACAGCACATTGTTTGTCTCAAACAGAGATGCGCCGAGTACAAGTTTTACCGAGTAACCGAGTACCGAATATTACTCGGTTTAACATTTGCCGAGCGGAGTACTCGGCCGAGTTACTCGGTTCATTACAACCGGACCACGATAATCCTAAAAGCCCCCGTTGCTCTAGAATTAGGCCGATATGTCAATGAAAGTTTATTGTCGCGAGAGCAGAGTCCTTTCCAATGGTCCTTTCCAATAGCATAAAACAAAATATCCAAAACTGGCGCAGTTAGGACGAGTGCTTTTATGTGCACCTGCAAGCACTGTGTATAACGAGCGGTTATTTGCCGAAGCGGGTAATATGTATGAAGTAAAAAGGAACAATCTATTGCCTGAACGCGCAGAAAGCTTTGTAAATATTCCTACATCATAACTTGCCTTTGTTAAATTTTAAATATTAATAATGTAAACTTTCTTTTTAAATTACTAAATTGCTAGAAATTGTTACAATTGTCTACAATTCCTAGTAATAACTCTCTTTTGGATATTTTAAATATATTGTTGATTTTACTTTATTATGTCTATAGCTGTGATGCTTTATTTTAACTGAGTACTTTTCTCATGAACCGAGTTATGCGGCCGAGTACACCGAGTACCGAGTAGCAAAGAGTACTCGGCGCATCTCTAGTCTCAAATAACTTACCTATTTATTTCTTCAGACTATTTTTACAAAAATCTAATTATCTCAAAAGTGATATTTTGTGGGTTGGTTATAGTTTGCATAACTATGTCCAACTACATATCTCGTAAGTATCGTGCTCGACGGTAGACAGCCGATTACAATACAATATAAATTAATTTGTCAAAACCATGTGAAAACAGAGGTCTGGCAACGTATCCCACGAACGCAAGCTACGCAGCAGAAGTTTTCAACGTTGCAAAACCAAAAATGTATATTTTTATGCTCACCTAATTATAAAAAATTTGACTTTTTTTTAAATGTTTTGTTTTGATTTCAACGAATTGGTGCATTATATTTACTTATTTACGTATTTTTTTGTGTATGATATTTTCACACTGTTAAGGGCCTGTCCATAATTTGCAAGCAAAAATTTAGCTCGTACTTTAGTAGGCGAAAGTTACTTTTTACTCCTAAATTTGTTATTTGGCTTTTATTTAAAACAAAGGGTCAGGATCAAGATAAGTACCATTTAAATAACCACACCAAATTTGGTAGTAGGCAAGTTTGGTTTGCCCGAGAAAAATATGTCAAAAAAAAAAACCACCAGAATCTCACTGTAATCCAGTTTTTGTATTACCTATGGCAATAAGCAATATTCTAGGAATTTCAAGCTACACTTCAAGATACGTGTTACAGGATGTACTATTTTCAAAGTTCCAGTTGCTATGTTATCGCCTAAAAACTTACACAAAAACACCATATTGAAGCGATTTTGGGCCTTAACGTTTTCTATAAAATATAAATGAAGTTTGTAGTATTATGTCAGTTTTTCATTTTTATAGGATTTTTCTGAACTTTCGTTAATTCATTCGGTAAATAGCGCAGTAATACACTCTTTTGCAAAAAAAACGGGCACCTAAGGAAATTTACGTTCTAAAGTCGATTTGGGTTAATTAAATGAAATTTATTTCTTTGATTTAGTCTGTATACTTATAATCGTGTAAATTAATGCGCGTGAAGTGAATTCGAGCAATTAAAAGAAAAAAAAACGATGGATTCTTTAAAACCGATGTACACGCCCAAACAATAAGAAGTGGTCGGCAATAAAGACAAGATTTTTTTTTACTTTTTTTATTTAAATAAAGTTACAAATGTAAAAACCTAATAACGAGTATGACCTCCTCTTGCCAAAATCACAGCTTGAATCCTTCTGGGCATGCTTTCCACAATGTTTTTAATAACGTTTTGAGGAATACGTTCCCACTCTTCTGCAATGACTTTTTAGCTCCCTGATGTTTTGTGGAGCAGGTTGCACTGATCTTACCCGTCTCTTTAGAACATCCCAGACATGCTCAATTGGATTGAGGTCAGGACTTCGAGCTGGCCAATCTAAATGACGGATCCCAACTTCTTGCACGTCGCATTACATGTCTAATATTGATGCAGACCACCCTACGCTTACGCTTCCACGTCGCCAGAACGGTGCGGGCGAGCATTGTCGTCCATAAAAATGGAATCTTACCCAAGTGCAGTCAATGTGGGTTGTGCATATGGAATTAGGACTTCCATTATGTACCGGTGTGCATTTAATGTTCCATTTTCTATGAAAACTAACTCCGTACGCTCCGTCGAATTAATTGCTGCCCAAAACATAACGGAGCCTCCGCCATAAGGAGTGATTTCTTCGAAACACACTTCCGCATAGCGTTCCCGTGGTCTTCGCAGCACTCGCCGGCGTCGGTCCTCTCCACACAAAGAGATTCTAGCTTCATCAGAAAACAATACTTCATTCCAGTCCTCCAGAGTCCATGAAGCACAGTTCCGAGCAAACGGAAGTCGAGCAACACGGTGCTCACGGAGTAATTTAGGGCCCCGAGCTGGGCGGTAACTCCTGATATTGGCAGCCAAAAGCCTCCTCCTGACCGTCCACAAGCTAACTTCTACTCCTCTTACTTCTTCAAGGCTCTTCTTCAGGTCCACACTTGACGCCTTACGATTCCGCAACGCCTGACTCACCAAAAAGCGGTCATCTCTTGGTTCTGTGCATCGTTTTCTTCCCGAACCGGGCCTTCTTTTGACCGAACCGGTCTCTTGATACCGTTGCCAAGTCCTCTGGACAGTTGAACGACTCACATTTAGCCGCTGAGACACGTAAGATTGCGAACAACCTTCTTCAAGTAGGGCTATAATTTTACCGGCCCTTATCACTTTATCACTCATATCAAAAAGTGGTATTTAATGTAAAAAGAAAGATTAAATTGTTTAATTTGCAGAAAATATCCAAAAAGTTTTAAAATATCGTAATCAGTTAAAAATCGTTTCAGCAATTCGCACCACATTAGTAAAGCAATTTTAGTGGATTTTTTTGTATAATTTTTATAATAATATTAAACTACCGTACATAGTTATTTTTACTTGACATTGGCAAATCATTGATTATTTCGATGGAGCCATAACATTTAAAAGAAGAAGAAGAAGAAGAAGAATCCACAATAATCATTATTTTTCTTTTATTAATTTCAAATTTTAAATTTGGAACGTAAAGAATCATGCCAGGATGCTTCAAATAACATGCCAATATATCGTCAAATTAATAAAACCTATTTCTTGTTCTTCTTCATTGAAGTAGAGAAAAAAATCTAAAGTGCCCGTTTTTTTGCAAAAGAGTTTAGATTTTGAATATGTAAGTTCATTTTTAAGTGTGTGGAATCCCTGAGGATGTATGTATCATTCAAGGAGTGTGTTCGGACGGAGCCTATCAGAGCGCGGTTATTTGCACAGGCTGATTTCCGTACATTTAATGTTGGGTGGTTTCAATCTGTTTTATCGGAGCCAACATGTGGTGCCGCGGAGAATTTGTATACATTTGGTTAGGTAGTACTTAGATTTATCTGTTAGGATTTTATTGTTTTTCTAATGCTGACATATTCAATAACGCTCAATCCCCTAAATAAATACGGAGTAAAAAAAAATGTTCGGGACGTTTTTACTATATACTACAGTGACTTACAAATAAAATATACTACCCCTATCTGGTAAAGTAGATACTCGATGCCCAATCGTACGTAACCTATTTGAGTCAACGCCATCTAGCGACAAATTTGATTACTAATTTAACTGTATTTAACTGATTCTGTATTCGTCGAAAAATTTAATTTTTTCAATAGTTAAGTATGTACGTACAATAAAAACGTGTCTACCAGAAACTAAAACTACGATTTTATTATATGAATAATATGTGGTCCCCGTGGCCGCGGCAAGGTGCCCAAGATGCTGGCAGCGTTCCCCCTTTGCATAGTTATACTAATGCGTTAGGCAAGGCGTGGTAAGAATTTATAACAAAGTTCGTGTTACAAAGTGTAATTTGGAAATCCAACTTTTTAAAGACAGATTTCTAAAAAAACCCCAACTACATACAATAGTAATGTTTTTCCTGTTCAATAGATGGCGCATGGCTGTATGGAATAACGTGACTTGAATCATGTCGATCATTCAATCATGGTGAATGAATGAGTGAACAGCGTACCTAATAGTACGCGTTCATTGGTGTTGTAAACCTGCGGTTGTCGATTATCATCAAAAAATTCGACAATGAAACTCCATGTAGGTTTAACTTATTTAAAAATTGTTTATTTAGGAGAATGAACAAATGAACACACACGTAATGAAGTGTCACTAATACAAAACAAAAAATTTAGCAATTTATTTAAATGCGCTAGGAATTCCCTACAATAAATTAGTGCCAAGTAGATTAATTTGCTTTGTCATTCAGATAGTCGCTTTTTGCTGTAATGTACCTACTTATATTATGGAATAAACCACTATACAAACTAGGCTAAAAACTAAACGCCCTCACTGTTAGGGCGACGTAATAAATGATGAAAGTAAGAATTGCATTTATTGGTATATGTGTCTTGCATTGTTAAACTTGCCGAGGTACCTACTTTATTTAATTGTATGTACTTCATTTGTATAAGCCCTCCGTATTGTAACAAAAACATGATCTAGGTGCCAGTATTAACCGATGCTTATCCCAAATTGGAATCGTTGTCTTCATATTTACTGATCAGTATTCTTTTTAAGTAGTAAGAAATACTGTTATAATTTATTTTATTTCACTGCGTGTCTGGATTGTCTGTGTTATCTATCGAATCGGATTTATGGATTCGTTGTTTGTATTGATGACATCAAAATTATATTTATGATAAAGATAAAAGTCTCAGTTTCCTTCTATAGCCCATTCGATTTACATACATTATACAATTCTATCCGACAGTTATGATTCAGTATGTATAATGTACTTTAAGGTTATGATGTGCTCGATGGTTCGGAAAATGTATATCGTACTTTATCGATACTTTTGAATATGATTTAACTACACTAAAGCATCATTCATTCATTCGAGTTTCATTCAACAACTTCTGCCTTGTTGTTTGCTTTTGCAAATGTGAAATAGTGAATTAACTTTAAATTTTGTTATTGAATTAGTACGCGAGAAGCATTACGAGAATAATAAAGTACTATATTTAATAATCTGTGATAGTACATCAAACCTTAACGTCACTCTTATTATGTGGAAATGATGTACCAGTTATGTCTGCGTTTAGAAAATACAATCACGAAAATTTAGCAGTGTTGTTGTCTAATCCTCCACATCTGGATTTATTAACGATGTCCAGATAACAGAAAATGACAATTGCTCTCATTACCCTACCGCAAGCGATGAAATAGTGCCTAACAAAATTATGCCATGTACGCTCCCGATCATCTTCGACGGAAGGAAACCAGAGATGTTATGTACCGGAGTAATTCTAGCCTTGACTTGATATACGCTGAGCACCCGTCAGGGAATGGCTTAAGGCGGGAATATGGAAGTCACGGGTCTATCGACGTGATCGGCGGGGCTAGCGAAAGGGTGCCTGCAATGGTGCATAATTATAGCGGCGCTTCGTTTTCGGATAAAACGCCTGGACTAGGCCGCGAGCGCCTCTCTGAGGTCCTCGCTGGTGATCATGCTGACGGGCCTCCTCGTGCGAGTGCTAGCCCGAAGCCTCGACTCAAGCTCAACAAATTATGGGGAGGTGCAGCTCCCGCGCTCTCCCGGGCTCCACTTGACGAACAACCTATTACACTTGAACAAAAGAGAAAACAATTTGCCCATTATGATTGTCAATCTCTTATGGCCAACTTGAGCTATGCCGCTGAAATACGAGGTGCACTTCTCAGTCGGAGACGGAACACAACAACCGGGGCATCTGCAGCATCATTGCTAGCAACACGAGGTCTGCCTCCAGGGGATGACGCTGTCCCAGATATGGGTGATGGCAGATGTAATGAACTTTTGGAAAGCTGTCCTTTCTTCAGAAATGAAGTTGGAGGTAAGTTTTCTTCTTTGACTAAATTTAAACCCCAATGGTTTTTCATTTCAGCTTTGCCTCTCTCTATGAGCAAATTGTTGATTTTTTAAGTCTTTAATTTAAAACCAAATTAATGTAATTAAATTTATAAAGAGTAGTTTAAATGATGGTGTTTTATTGTATATTTAGGTAAAATATACACTGAACCCATAGTGCCATCTGCAATGCAACTAAAGTACAGTAGTGGGTAACCAGTAACAAAGATTATAAGACATAAACAGACAAGAGCTGTAAAGTTAGAGAAATTATGTCTATTGATTATAAGTACCATACTTTTCTTCCCATTGTTTGGTACAAACATTACAAGTTCTCCTACAGAATGATCATTGTTACATGTGAATCAGGTGACATAAATACAGGTTTTACACTTGACATTGTTTCTTGGAGCTAATGACTAATTTTTGTAAAAAACACAGGTTTGTAATATACAGGAAAGTGAAATTTGGTGCATATTATGAATAATGCATAAACAAAACCTTAAGTTACCTAAATACATTTTTGTAATATTGTTTCATTGTAGTTGTGGTATTACTAAGTAATTATTGGAAGATATTTACACTGAATTGCTTCCATTAGACAATTTGTTAGGGTAATTATACCAAAGTCACTCATGCTTGACATCATACACTTCGTCTCAACAATATGTGAGAGTCTACATAGAAAGTTTAATAACAGAATAATAAGAATGCTAAATGCTGTTGAACGAAAGGTTTTATCCAATTACGTTATAAATTGTGTTGCAGTTTCTTGTATTAATGTTTTTTTACCAAATTCACAAATAAACTGAAGTATATATATTTTTTAAATCTACTTTTAATTTCCATATCTAAATGTTATAGGTGATTGTTTAATTTTTCCATTTGCATATAAATAATTCTATACAATGGGGAAATAACTATTGTGATAATTTACATTATGGCATTGTTCTGTGGATTCAGATAATAACATGAGGTTCCATGATCATATTGGTCATAAGGAAAAGTAAAGAAAATATTGGTTGTAGACTATACATCATTATTTATTAAATGTATAATGGAAATTATACATTTAATAAAAAAAAATATTAAAAAATATTGAAAATATTCTGCAGAAATGAGTGACTCACTTTCATTTCTCTATTTAACCATGACATGTTTATTGGATAATCTCACACATTATTTTATTTACTATTAAGTAATAATCACAAAAGACAAATAAGATTTATTCACTTAAAAGTTTGAATAATAAAGTTCATCAGTTTCCCACCCTAGTAGCCAACAAAAAGAAGCATTCTCTAAGCATGAGTCATTGTATTTTGCAACAGGTTTCCAGATTTTATGAATGACTGCACAAGATCACTTATGTTACACACTTGCAAAAGTAAAGTTGATTATAGTTAGCATCAATTTGCTGTTTTTTCTATACAGTCAAATAATTGGCTAGAGAACATCATACTTAGATATTTAATGTTTTACATGGGATTGCTAACAATGTTTGGAAAGTATGAAGTGATCTATTTTGTTCATGAATGACTATTATCGTGTTCTATTATCATTTTCTTTCTGCTATTGCTATTGCACTTACCTACAGATTAGTGAGGCATTACATGATTATAAGCTGTTTATGGTATATTAATAGCTAAGATAGGATTATGTCAACATGCATGGGTTTCCTCGCAAGTAATGCCTATTATTGATCAGATCATAGTCAAAAATATAGCATGACTGTTTGCAATTAAATTAATATATAAAAATTACTTGAATTACAAACAGGAACGGGAAATTATCAGTCTTATATGTTATTTAGTATTGACAGTTGCACCTATATTACAATAAAGATTTAAAGTCAATGTTATTAAGAATAAGACGATCCAAAGCATAAAGCGCAGCATTCTGTCGACTGTATAGTATTTGGCGTGATACCACACTTTTACTGTTTACATTGAACTCTTATATCATTAACAAATTTAAATATTTCAGGTGAAGAAGAACGTTGTGTCTCGTTGTGTTGGCGCACGGCCCGCGGTGCCATTCCAGGCCAAGCCGGAGGCTGGCATCGTCCCAAAGCCTCATACGGCCTCTCCGTGCTCGAGTTCCCACCTGGCAACTCCCACTGGCGCCATTGCTGCCCCTTCGCCCGATCTCTTGCGCCACTGCCTATTGAAAGTCAAGACCTTGGTGCATTGTATTACAGGAACTATTTTTACACACAACGTAAGTTCCTTTTGTCGACTATGTAATAAAGTTTATGAAAAGTAAAAATCCTAACACTTCATTTCATATCTTCCACAGCTCATCAGAATTGGTTTGGAATGGATGAGAATCTTGGGCCGATTTCTATATCTATCAAGAAAGAGAGGGTAGAATTGCGCCGAGGTGGAGGCGATGCGTCCGCTCCTGCTTCGCAACTGGCCTGGCAATACCGCCTCATCATTCGCACTTCTGAACTGCTCACATTACGCGGCTCCGTATTAGAAGACGCGCTACCCACCGCAAAACCTAGCAACAACAGCACGGCGTACAACACAAAAGAAGTGCTCGAGTATGTCGCACCCGAGTTGCAATTAAATTGTTTGAGGTAAATGCCCTAATAACGACTTAATTACTATTAAATGCTGTTGAACATTTTGTATTGTTTCCAGCGTGCTGTGCATGACAAAACTTCATGCAATCGTAACGTTTCATACGCGAATATAATGCTCATTAAGCATTCAATTAGGGCAACCATTGATTACTTAATCAATAATATTATTTCAGACTGGGACTTACAAGCAGTGGTGCCGAGGAGCAGTTACTTCGACTCGACGAGCAATGCGTAACAAGACACTACAAAGTAGGGGTTATGTATTGCAAAACTGGACAGTCCACTGAAGAAGAAATGTACAACAATCAAGAAGCTGGACCTGCGTTTGTGGAGTTTCTACAAATGCTGGGTCAGACTGTGAGATTAAAAGACTTTGACAAGTACAAAGCAGGTTTGGACAATCGGACAGACTCTACTGGCCTTTATTCTGTGTATACTACGTATCAGGGCTGTGAGATTATGTTTCATGTGTCGACAATGCTTCCTTACACACCGAACAATAGGCAGCAGTTGTTGAGAAAGCGTCATATAGGCAATGACATAGTAACAATAGTCTTCCAAGAACCGGGCGCGGCGCCATTCACGCCGCGAAATATTCGGTCGCAGTTTCAACACGTGTTTGTGGTGGTCCGAGCGATAGACCCTTGTACTGAAAACACACATTATAGCATAGCTGTGAGTCGTGCTAAAGAAGTGCCTTTATTTGGACCTCCAATTAAAGACGGAGCTATTTACCCTAAGGGTGAAGCCTTTACGGATTTGCTTCTGAGTAAGGTATGTTTAACTTAAATTCCATAGCTGAAAAATTTCATATTATTTCCTACCAAACACTATTTTATTTTCAAACTTTCAACTGTTAATTATTACTTTTTCATAGGTGATCAATGGTGAGAATGCAGCGATTCAGTCGCCAAAATTCAGCACAATGGCGACGCGCACGCGACAGGAGTACCTGAAAGATTTAGCAAAGAATTACGTAACGGCCACTACCGTGGACACTGGACAGAAGTTTTGTTAGTATATTTTTTTTTATTTACACTCGTTAAATACGAGTTTCTGGAGTGAAATTGAAATTCTTTACTGTACCACGCATACATAAGATGTTGATATAATAATAATAATTTATTTAAGAAAAGAAAGTACATGTACAAGCTAATTGATCTACAGCAATTCAGAATTATTAGGATTGTACATATATAGATAATAGGTTCAGTCTTTTTCTGTATTCATTACTATTGTAATGACTGTTTGTACCTGAATAAATTAAAAAGAAATTATAAAATGTTTGAAAATAAAATAATCAATTTGGGTTCGGGCAGAATGCAGGATAACCATACTATATTAAGTACAGTAACAATAGACATTATTGGACATGGAGGCCGCGAAAAACATTCTCAGATCAAGTTGATAGTGTTCTTAAAAAAGCTGGAGTGTGTAGTGAGAAGAATAAGAGAGCCTGTATCAAAATAATAACGAATGATGCTAAGTGGCGAGCGACAATCTCTTCTGTAATAATACGGGATGAACAAGTCGTGCCCTTGGTGGTAAGCGACATGCCTGTGTGTAGCAGTTGCAGTGCTACTCAGAGCTTTAAATGGTAAAGACCTGAGGGCCACTGCCACTGCACCCGTCACCCTGAGACATAAGTTTATGAGTCCCATATGCCTGTAATGTCGCCAGCACCCCTACCCTTCAAAACCGTAACGCTACATTACTGCTTGGTGACACAATTAGGTAAGGTGACAGTACTTATCTGGACGAATTCTTTCACAAGCTCTATTGCTACTAAAGTGAGTATAATTTGCTTAATGTTTTTCAATTCCAGCAATATTTTCTTCCCTATTAATGAAGAGCGCGAGCAGTTCAAGCAACAACACAATCTTACCTCGCGTTGAGAGCTGTGCTAACGACGTACTAGTCGGTGGAGCCCTTTGCTTCCACGTAAGTATTGTACAAAATCCTCATACGTCGCCCTTATTTGCATGCAACCTATTTTTTTTTTTTTTCACGTCGTTTCAATAGCAACGGTAAAAGTAATTTCTCATTGAACAAAGAAAGAACTCTTAGCTAACTGAGTCGTACTAATAACAGATTACACTCAAATACTTTAAAAAAATATATTAATTGTGTTATTCCTATAAATTTGCACCCTTGGTGTATTAAGGTGGCATCTGCAAAATGACAACTTCCCAGTAAAAGAACAACTTGAAATGACAACTTCCCAGGTTTAAAGTTTACGAACGAAATTAGTCTATAATTTTTTATTTTATGATTTGAGATTATACTATCTCTACTCGAATTCAAATTTTTCCCATACTAATGCGGTTCATTCTGCTAGTGTTGAGCGCCAGGGACACTGGCTTTATTTCAGAATTTATTTTTTTTCAAACGAAATCAAAGCAATTTGAAAAATGATATCGTACTTATAGTCTACGTGTTCTATTTAGTTTAGTATACATAGGGCGCACTATCAGCTTCCGGAACTGGCCACTTACATAAACAATATTTAAAAAGTAATTACAACATTTGAAAATGGAACTCTTTGGCTGTAGAATAAATATGTTATATATATATAGTTTGTTTCAACTGACTGTCACTTGTTTTTACATTGTGGCGTCATTTTAGAAATTGGTTGTCTACATCACCACGGATTTAACTCGTGAACATTTTCGTAGTATGATATTCTACGAGTTTAAGTGTAAGGCTCGGCTTCAAACTGCTTTTGGCGAAGAAGCACCATGCAAGACGACTATTTATAGCTGTTTGCAGAATTAATAATAATAATAATAAATTCTTTATTTAAACAGAAAAGTTACATGTCATTGTAGGCCCTGGCTTCCGAGCTAGGTTCAAAGACCTGTGTTACGGAAATCAGTGTCTTCTCATAATTAGTGACACTTATTTATTTCTGGCAGTTAATGTATCTGCTATTAATATAACATTTACTAATATATATATACGTATATACATATTTATGTGTGTTTGTTTGTTTGTGTGTGTGTATGTGTGTTTGTGTGGGTGGGTGTGTGTGTGTGGGTGTGTGTTTGTGTGTGTTGGTGTGTGTATTATTTGATACGCTGATGTGTGGAGGAGCTATTTTTACGTGTTATTAATACTAGTTTTATCGTAATAGTAGTAATTCAGTTTGATCGTAATCAAGAGCCTGAAGGAAATGCGTTACTTTACGTTTCGTTTCGTATGTCGATAATGGGTAAATATTAAGAATTGAATTTATTTTATTATATAAACACGTGGACATATATCGACATTGTTGTCTAGCAGTGGTTGTTCGACATTTTATTGGTGGACAAACATTTCTTATAGTGCGTTTATTTTTATAGTTTTTGTGATTGTAAGGGGTGTTTTTATGGTGTTTTACAATTACTTGCAAGATATAAATTTTTCTGACAGAGAGCACTTTGCACGTTTCATACAGAATTTTTGTGGGACATCGATAGGGACTAAATGTCATTACTTTTAATAAAGATCTTTGTGCTATTTCTAATTGTTTTATATAAGTTTTACAAGCACCACCCCAAGTCCCAATACAATAACTTAGCACCGATTGTGCCAGTGCAAAATAAATTGTGCGCAACAGGTTTAGATCACTAACATGCCTTAACTTCTTGAAAACCCATATGAGTTTCCTGACTCGAGAGGTGATATAATCTATATGAGTACTCCATCTTAACTTATCATCCACCATTACACCTAGATATTTCACCTTGGTTGATTTAATAATAGAAGTACATGTACAGTCAGAATTACAAGGTATGCCACAGGTGTGGATTTTAAGGTCGACGTTAGTACGTTTAACTTTGTCAAGAGCAAATTGTAAAAAAGTTGTTTTTGATACGTTTAGAGTAAGAAAATTCATCCTCAGCCAGCAGCTAACTTTTTGGAGTCCTATCTCAGCATTTCGGCAAGCTTCGTTCCAAGTCCCTCCATGAAATACTAAGGCTGTATCATCTGCAAATGTAAATATTTTGCCATTTATTAGGGACTGATGACACAGGTCATTTATATAGATTATGAATAGACTTGGCCCGAGAACGCTACCTTGCGGAACTCCAAAAAGAACAGAAGCATCGGTACTTTGATGTTCACCAATTTTTACTCGTTGTGTTCTCCCACATAAGAAATCCCTGAAGATCGTAAGAGCACTACCCCTCACACCAATATGATACAACTTGTTCACAAGCATGGGAATCGAAACTGTGTCAAATGCCTTGGCAAGGTCCAAAAATACGCCAACACACTTTTGTTTAGCATCAAGTTGATCAGTAACATAGTCTATAAGCTGATTGACAGCATCTTCGGTGCTTTTGCCTGTCCTGAAACCAAATTGGCAACTAGATAAAATGTCGTTATATTCCAAATAATTTACAAGCCTTTTATTTAGTATTTTTTCGAAAACTTTAGATAAAGATGTAAGGACCGATATTGGTCTATAATTTGACACATCGTTTCGAGTCCCACTCTTGTGAACAGGAGTGATAAGAGATCTCTTAAAAACCTTCGGGAAAACTCCCTGTACCATACAAGCATCAACAAGCTTAGTAAGAGGTGGAACAATTATATGTCTAGCCTCTTTTAATAACTTTACTGGAATGGAGTCCCAGCCAGTGGCACAATTATTTTTAAGATTATTTATGGTTAATTCAACTTCCGCTTCATCTGGTGGAAGTAACACCATAGAATTAGGTGAAGATATAGTGTCAAACTCAACCATATTCGAATTTAGATTTGTGGATGCAGTAACGGCATCCGCTAACTGCTTACCTATTTTAGAAAAATACTCATTAATAAGCTCTATTTCTTGTTTTGCGTCATCAGCTGAATTTAATAGGTCAGTTGCTGAGTTTTTAATTTTACTGTAATCAATTATTGTTTTTATTGCATTCCATTTATCCCTATTTGTTTTTGCTGATTGTAAGAGTGATTTATCATAGTTACGTTTAAGTTTTTTTATTAATGAATTGCAATAGTTACGATATCGTTTAAATGACATTTCAAGAATAACGTTATTTGGATCAGTTTTTAGCTTTTTATGAAGTCTGTCTCTGTGCCTTATGCAACGCAATACACCAGTTGTAAGCCATGGTTTTAAAATCCTCTTCCTACTTGGCACCACAAGTTTGAATTAAGTTTAATTGAAGAAGATAATATTTCGACAAATTTAGAAGCTGCTTCATTGGCATCAGAAATAGAAGTAATAAACGAAAAGTCAATTGTTTCTAGGTACTTAACAGCAGCCTCAAAGTTAATTTTAGTTGCAACGTTACACTTCGCTGTCAGCGCTTGAGCTAGACGTAAATTTAGGAGAACAGGACAATGATCAGTCAGCAAGGAGTCCAATACAAATATTGACGCGGGAAATATGGATTTTAACATAATGTGGTCTAGACAGTTTAGCATCCTGGTAGGATAAGTATGTCCCGGTAAGATACCAAGCTCAGCAGTTAGATTTAAGTAGGGTGCACTTTTATGGTCCAAATTGCTAGGCCTGATATCTATGTTAACGTCACCAATCAATATGATATTTTTTGCTGAACTAATTGGCCGAATAATATTTTCTATTGCATTTAAGAAACTGTCAATTTTTTGTTCTGATGGTGATCTATATACAGCCAAAATGTATATATCCTGGTCAAGCTTCAGCAAAAGAAAAGTACCTCCAATCTCATTCGGTTCTATCACTGTACAGTTAATGTTCTTGTGTAAATATACGACAATACCATCGTTCTGGTTTTTACAGTACCGAGAAAAATGTGTGACATAATTTTCAATGCTCGGAATTTTTTTGTGTTCTACCAGCCAGCATTCAGTCAAAATTATTATGTCTGTGCTGAAAGAGAATGTGGCTATTTGTGCTAGCAGAGAATCTCTTTTTATATATACTGCGAATGTTTAGGGAAAAAATATTTAGCGATGAGACAAAACTTTTATTTAGTGAATTACAAGTTTGAATGTCACAGTAGTGTGCTGTTGCTACAGAGATATTATCCAGTTCTATGAGAAAATCTTGATTAGCCATTCAAAAAAATAAAATAAAAAATAAACAAAGTGGGTGCACAACTATTGCAAAGTAATAAGAAATAGTAGGGTAATGGAATGTTGTAATAATATTTTTATCAAATATGTACACTGTGTAGGAGAATAAATGTATGCGTATCATTATCGTTACGAGTATATGTGAGTGTAAGTTATGTGTATATAGTATTATTAAATTGTGTAGTTTTAGTGAGGTATTTTTGGGTGAGTGTGGTGTGAAGTTACATAATGAATAGTTAAGAGAAAGCAGGAATTTACATAAAAAATATAAAAGAAAGTAAGTGCACAGATGTATAACTAGTCATTTTTCTTGGCGCAAGTTGTTGATGTCTTCTTCGCTATTAACCAATGTAAGTTTTTTTCCATCATCTTGTCGCAAGAACACCTTCCCATACGAAATCCAACAGTATTTATAATCATAGTCCTTTGCAAAGTTTCGTGCAAGATAATACAAACGTTGATTTTTAGGAGTCAGTTTTTCCGATATGTATATAGGTTTTTCTGGGCCTTGTATTTTGAGATGTGTGGTGTTTAATTTGTTTTGTTTGTTATTATTATTGAATTGTCGTATCTTTTTGATCATATTTTCTTTTGTAGTAACGCTAACAAAGTCAACAACAATCGAAGAGATCACATCCTTCTTTCCAGTACGAAAAATATCCTTAACTTCGTGGCGTTGCACTGGTAACTCAAGCACGTTCGCAGTGTCTGTGACAATTTTATACAGATCTTCTTTAGACTCACCCAGTTTTCTTGGTATATTCCTTATCTCAACTCTAGTAGAGCAAAGCATACGCTCAAGGTTCTCCACTTTCTCTTCAAGCTGCTTAATGTGACAGCGGTCTAGTTTACGATCGGATTCCAGATTTTTTATTTTAATTACCATGTCGTTGAAGAATTGAAACGCGATCGTGTGAATCTCAGTGACGAATTTCGTGATGGTCGCCCGTCCACTGCTGTGAACAACAAAAACATCGATGCTGTGCGCCGTATGATCATAACAGATAGGCATGTGACATACCATGACATTCGGGCATCTTTAGGCATAAGCACGAGTCAAATACAAGCAATACTGCACAAACATTTGAGTGTGAAAAAGCTGTGCTTTCGGTGGATCCCACACAATTTGACTGAGGCTCAAAAAACGGATCGCGTCACTTGGTGCAATACCATGCTTACCTTATCCGTAAGCTTTGTCACTTCGGTGACGAAACATGGATTTATAGTTATGATCCCAAAACAAAGCAGCAATCGAGCGTATGGGTCTTCCGAGATGAGCCGAAATCAACCAAAGAGGCGCGCGTGCAATGTGGCTCTAAGCGGGTGATTGTTTCTTTTTTTAATAAAACTGGACACGTGGCTACTGTTGCTTTGGAGAATCGTTGTACCGTGAATAGTGATTGGTACACGACCATTTATTTGCCGGAACTTATTATAAACGCCGTATCTCTTGCACCACGATAATGCCAGTTCTCACAGACAGACAAATGAATTTTTGAAGGTGAACAACGTTGACCTTATGAGCCATCCCGCGTACAGTCCCGTCCTGGCACCTTGTGACTTTTATTTATTTCCAAAAATTAATAACCAGTTACGCGGTCAATGATTTTCATCACCTGAAGAGGCTGTCGAAGTGTATGAAAAATATGTTTCAGAGATTGTCACGGAGGAGTGGCATAAATGTTTTCAAATTTGGTTCATTCAAACAATAAATTCATTTCTGACCATTTATAGTATTTTTTTTTTCTTATTCATTCCTGAAAGTTATAGTGCGCCCCAAGTATATAAAAAAAAATCATTGGTATTATGTAAAGTACCTATTGAATACAGTGGTTTTCTTGTACAATTTCGAGGTAGGTTTTTTTCTATCATGACATTTTTAGGAATCGTTTTTTCACACCATATAGTAATCAGTGTATATCCTCAATTTTACTTTATATTTTTTCGAAAGTAAATGATTAAACACTTTCACTCTTATGCGGAATCAACCAAAGCCATTTGAGGTTGTATAGACTCTTAAGTTGGAGAGTTATAAAATTTTATATGTACATTATTTTAGGCGATCTAAATCGTGTATATTTGTTTTTCCAGACAAACCAACGTTTCGGGCTCTTTACAGGTCTCATGCTCAGTCGTAACTGTAAGGGCCCGAAACGTTTGTTTGAAAAAACAAATATTTAAATCCGAAAAATAATTTCATTTGCTATGCGTAATAATCGCGAAGACCTCAGGACTCGATATACTTACAATCATGTAAGTATATCGAGTCATGTAAAATATCAATATTTCATGACAAATATTTTATTTTTATTGAATATCATCGTGTTTTTACTGCCATTATATTCATCTTTATTTTTGTGGAAATACTCCACTACTTTGTTATTATTATTGATAAAAAGATCGAACAAGCAAAGAAAAATTCCTTCGACTTTGTTTCTTGTAGTTCGTATTTTCTTCCAAGTGATAAAAACTCTTTTTAATCGACTTGAAAAAATGGAGAAAGTTCTTAATTCGACTGTTTTTTTATGTACGTTACGCGATAACTTCGGTTACTGATTTGTGAACCGATTTTGATGATTTTTTTTATTGGAAAAAGGATACCTCAGTAATGGTCCCATTTAAGGACTACCCACACACATCAGGGCCATGCCCCGGACGTGGCCGGGGCGTGCTAGTTTGTATGAACTGCGGGCCCGCCCCGGCCCCGGCCCGGACACGGACATGTGTGAACGAGTTCGTCCCGTTACTTAATGTCATAAAAAAAAAAAAAAAAAAAAAAAACGAGTTCATACAAAATATACGCAACGATATTTTTTGAGCCCCTGACGGAGCACGGCCCGTCCACGTCCCGGGCACGGCCCGGATATGTGATAGACCATTAAACTTGAAGAAAATGTTCCCTCTTTAAGGGTGGCAAACTAGGGGATGAATCTGGTTTCGCGCACTCTCCGATAACCGCTTTCAATAAAACTTGACAAATAGATATAATTCCATGAACTTTTGAAGTTGTTTTTTTTAGTACTTTGTACTGAGATTATTACATATCATTGCTATGTCGCTTGTTACTAATATACACACTGTTTTTAACCCAGGTGCATGTACAAGACGAAGGTGCGGGCGGCGCGTTACTGGATTGCATCATGGGCGTCTCGGCTGACACCGTAGTTTGCGTCGAAGATAGTACGCGACAAATTGTCCTCGTGCTGCCTACTAATTCTTTGTTGGGTATGAATTTTTATTAACCATTGTTATAGATGTTAAGTAACAATTGAACGATTGTGTAATGTAATGAGTAATAATAAATAAAGACCCCTTTTTAAATATTAGAAACCAAAATTGCACTAACTCTAATTGTTTATATTTTGTCTTAATTTAACATAAGTAATAGACATCTCCAATAATAATAATTATAATTGAATTAGGCAAATACATTTTCGTTCATTGGTGATCAAATATGAAAAAAAATTAAAAAGTATGTAGAACAAGTAAAAGAATACTTGAAATACTGAAACATTGCAAAGAAAGGATAGATACTATTTACCATTCGTGAAGTCACACCTTAGTGGCGCTTTACAACCTACATGAACCAAAATCAAAATCAAATCAAAATCAAAATAGTCTTTATTTCATAGGTAAGCGTTATTATACTCGAAATCGTCACATTGGTTAAACTCTACCACTCATTCGTAAGGCAGATTCCCCTGAAAAGAACGAGCAAGAAACTACGTGTACGTGAAACTATGTTATTTACAAAGAGCAACCACTAGTTGCTCTTTGTAAATAACATTTGTACGCATTCAACTTTTATTCAAACATCAGAGATCGAGACTACCTCCATGAGCTAAACGGGTTACTACCACGGATTTTTGTCCTCCAAATACGCAGAAGTTACATAATAACCTCGAGTGTAAAGTTTTTGTTTCACTATTGTTTTAAACGTCGTGAATGGCAAATTTTGTATATCAAACGGAATTTTATTATATGGACAAAATAATTTCTTTTATATTAATTAAATTATTTAATTGTGAAAAATATTGTATTAAATCTTTTTTGTTAGATTTTCCTCTTCTGCCAATTAATATTAATAATATAGTGTTTTGCTCAAATTTACTTGACAAAATGCTATCTAGTATTTTACAGTAAGTTGCACCTGCCATGCAAATGTTTCTTAATTTAAGTCCTAGGTGGTTAATTTGTAAACCTTTATATTTACCCATTTCATTGCTGTACATAACAATATTATTTTGATTCCGTTTGAGCTAACTGACAAGGAGGTATTTTTTAATTCCATACAAGGTTTCTGCACTAGCAATAGAGAGGGATCAGTGACACACACGGGCGAGGAAGATTGTGTTTTTCTTTGTTCACAGTTACAAATGTGATTGCTTGTTAACGAATCAAATCTATCATTATTATATCTACGTAAATCTAACAACTTATCCATAGCCAATGTGTGTTCCTTAATTTCCTGTTGAGCTGTTTCATATTTTTGAGTCATGAACTGTAATGCATTTGTTAACCTATCTAATTCTGACTGAAGACGCTGTGTGTCACATTCATAACTTGCCTATTTTTTTCAAGGTTTAGAGTATAATCACTCAGTTCATGCAACAAGTTCTGACGTTCCTTTCTTAAAGTTATATTTTTACAAAATGCTGCATTTTTCTTTATTAATTTGTGTATGTTTTTCTGAATAGGGATGGAACATCTCTCTACCACTGATTTTAATCATTAAAATCCCTGGGGTCACTTGTGATATCAAAAAAGTACCTTCAACTTCGGCAGGCAGGGTTAAACTACACGATAGAGATATAGTTTTAGAATTAGACAGCAAACTTATAAAATCTAAAGATAAAGTAGCCCAAGCTTTTGAATCGTTCTTTTCGGAAATTGCTGTGAACACTACAAAATCATTAAATTCCTCCCCTTCACTTGCTATTGATCTCCTAAAGGAAAATGTTAACGTTTGTGGCAGTTTATTTAATTTTCGTCATGTTAATCCACAAGACATCATAAAAGCTTTTAAGTCAATACATGTTAAAAAAACTGAAGATCTCTGGGGCATATCAACTAAAGTTATAGACTCAGTTATTAATCTCATTTCCCCACAGTTAGCTGTAGCTTTCAATAGGTGCGTTGACGAAGGTGTTTTTCCCGATTTAATGAAATACAGCAAGGTTATTCCCTTATTCAAAAGCGGTAGGAAAGTTGATCCTAGCAATTATAGGCCCATTTCAATTTTACCAGCTTTAAGTAAAATATTCGAAAAGGTTATGCTAACTCAATTACTGTCCTATTTCGGTAGGAATCATATTTTTCATAGTGAACAATACGGGTTTACTAGTGGTAGATCGACTAGCGATGCGGGGGTAGCGTTACTAAAACACATCTTTGATGCTTGGGAAAGGTCCCAGAACGCTATTGGTGTTTTCTGTGACCTCTCAAAGGCATTTGATTGCGTTGATCATAATACTCTTATTAGTAAGCTGGAACATTACGGTGTAAATGGCAAGGCGTCGAAACTTGTCTCGTCATATCTCAACGGTAGAATTCAGAAAGTAGGCATAAATGGAGCGACTTCTTTGGGTTCTCCAGTAAAAATGGGTGTTCCGCAGGGCTCAATACTTGGACCTTTCTTATTTCTGATTTATATTAATGATCTGCCATTCTTTGTTAAGGACCATTGCGAAATAGTGTTGTTTGCTGATGACACATCCTTGATTTTTAAAACAGACAGACATGACATTAACTATGACCGTATTAATGATACCCTCTCTAAAGTAGTTTATTGGTTTAATGCTAACAATTTATTGCTTAATGCCAAGAAGACAAAATGTGTTAAATTTGAATTACCTAACGTAAAATCGACTAGTCCAAACATAGAAATAAACGGAGAAAAGTTAGACCTTGTTAATAAAGCAGTCTTCTTGGGAGTGACCTTAGATAGTAAACTTCAGTGGTTTCCACATATATCGTCCCTGGCCAGCAGATTAAGCTCCGCTGCATACGCAGTCCGCAGAATACGTGAGCTTACCGATGTTAGTACTGCTAGACTAGTTTACTTTAGTTACTTCCATAGTATAATGTCCTACGGGATTCTCATGTGGGGTAAAGCGGCAGATATTCAAACCATATTTGTATTGCAAAAACGAGCGATTCGTTCTGTGTACCGTCTAGGCTCTCGGGTATCTCTCAGAGAAAAGTTTAAGGAGACTGGTATCATGACTGTGGCATCACAGTACATTTACTCAAATATTTTATATGCCCGTAAAAATATACATAATTTCAATAAGAAAGAAGATATCCATAATATTAACCTTAGAGCTAAGTCCAAACTCATGGTACCACGATTTCGTTTAACCAAGGTAAACAACTCTTTTATGGGGAACTGTATACGTTTTTACAATAAGATTCCGGAGCATATATTAAGTTTATCATTTCCTAAGTTTAAAAAGTACATTAAAAATATTTTGATCGAAAAAGCATATTACAAAATTGAAGACTACGTGTTAGATAAAGATGTATGGAAAGACGACATGGCTCCAGAATCCACACAAATTTGATTCAAAATGTATTCCATAGCATTTAAGTTTATTTGAAAAGAGCAATCCCTAGAGTTTCTTGCTCGTTCTTCTCAGGGAGGTCAGCGTAGTGAACGAGCAGTACCTTAAATATGACGTTTTCAAGTGTAAATTTATTTTACCTATGGAATAAATCATCTTTGACTTTGACTTTGACTTTGACATCAATCAACTCGAAAGGTTTCATTTAAAAATAAAAGTCCAGAATCTTGTTGTGAAGTTTGAAATTCGTTATCCAGGTTGGGTGGTTAGCGGAGGCTGGACTCGAGTGTACTACCACCGCGGCGAGAGCGTGAGAATAAGAGGAGGATCTGAAGCCTTGCTACGTCGGCTAGCCAGTGTCGCACCGCCTCACGCGCACTCGTTACAAGAACTCACTTTAGAACGTGGCGCCGCATCGCAGCTTGGTATGTACTTAAATGTCAATTTTATAAAAGTAAAATTCTTAATATAATATTACACACTTAAAACTTTATAAATGTTCATTTAGAGCAAAATAAAAACGTTAGTCCCACAACATACGAACGAAAACAAAACGATTATAATGTTTGTTCCGTAGATAAATCGCTCAAGGTACGTGTTACGTCTGTGTTTTTAACATTACACTTGACTTAGGACTCTTTAAAAGAAGCCAATAGTGGAGAAGAACGAAGTATGAAAAAATATACTAAATAGAATAGTTGAGGAAATGTATAAAGGTTCTCTGCAGTGGCTATTTTGTTTATGTTCATTTGAGCTGTTTTATCCCAAATATAAATAAATCATAAGAAATGCAGTGGACTAAGAATTACGCGTAAACAGTGTCGTATAATGAATTGTACAGTCGATGCTCTAAAATGGATATCTTCTAGCCGACCTTTTGGTTCTGAAAGCGATGTTACCCATTGAACGGGAAAATGTTAAAGGAATTCCAGCGTAAAAAGTTTCTTAAAACTACATTCACTAGTGATGCGATCATGTTAAACTAATTTTACAGTTCACAACTTGATGGTTAACGTTGTTTAACACTTTTCTTCATGCTTATCTATTCAGAACCAACCAAGTGGTCAGGTATCTATAAGCATCGACTGTACGTAATTGCATGTAATTGTCTGGTACAGGCTTCCACGTGCAGCCGGACGGGTTGGTGACGGCGGTGGAAGGCGGCGGGTGCGCAGCGCGGGCGGGCATCCGTCGCGGCGTGCGCCTTCTCGAGGTGTGCCGCGCAGCCGTGGTGGCGTTACATCACGACCAACTCGTCGACCTGCTCAAAACATCGGATCCTGTCACTGTGAGTACTGTTCGATACAAACAATTTGTCTTGAGCATTTGATTATCTCAGTACAGAGTACTAAAAAATTCCAACCTCAAAAGTACGTGGAATTGCATATAATTACCAAGTTTTTTTGAAATCGGTTACCGGAAAGTGCGCAAACCCGGATTCGTCCCCTAGTTCGTCACTATACGGGACTTGACACAGGAGGTAATAAAAATCGGTTCTCACTACTCAAAATATATTGAGAGAGAAAAACGCCCTGAATTGGAGAATAGCAAAATCAACCATTAAAATAATTGCTCCTTATAATAAAATGTAGGCGCTGTTTATAAAAATGAATCTTCATGCGTGAACAGCCACCCTTAGAGGTGGATAATTTTCTTCAAAATTAATTGGTACCACTATTTCCCTACCACCACTAGTACCCTATTTCCAACAAAAAAAGATTCATGAGAATCAGTTCACAAATACCGGAGTTATCGCGTAACAAACATCCAAAAAAAACAGTCGAATTGAGAACCTCCTCCTTTTTTGAAGTCGGTTAAAAATAGAATAAGGTGCACTTTTTGCTGAAATTGGCTGAAAACTATTATTATTAGATAATTAATTTTTGTTAAATGGGTTCATATGTTTGACTACTTTGATCGCTTAGTAGATCAATGTGATAATGGTTTTACTTACTCATTAGACTTGTTTTCCCAAAATTCATGCCGTCTTGCTATAGCCTGATTAACGTTTATGGTGTATAAACTAGCCAGTGGGCCTAAAAACATGTTCTATTTAAACACTGTAGCTGATAAATTATTTCTATAACGGCAATAACAATATTACATTTGAAAATATTGGGAACAGTGAAAGAATACCTGCACGTCGGAGAAGGTTGACAACCCTTGAAAACTCTCAGAGGCGACCCGTGCCGAACAGTGGGAAGTATAATGAGTTGATGATGAGCTGATGATGTACTTAATGACCTGTTATTTACAAGTTTCTTGCTATATTAATATTACTGTATGACTACAATCAATAAATACTTTATTTATTCAAATCACATCAAACTTCACTACAAAGTAGTAAATTACGTGAAGCGGCCTATTGCTAAGGAACCATTTCTTCCACTTATAATTCGTTAGTAGTGGAGCTCTTTGTGAAAGAGTTTATCCAGGGAAGTACTGCCACTTTACCTATTTCTGCCGCCAAGTGGTAATGTGAGCATTACTCCGTTCCAGTTTTGAATGGTAAGGGGTGCTGGTGAAATTACAGGCACATGAGACGGTCAACTTATGTCTCAGGGTGACTGACGCAGTGGCAGCTACCCCTCAGATCTTTGCAGTTTAAATCTCTCAGCAACAAACGTACGACTTCTTTGTCCCGTCACTTAGTATCTATCGTAAAAAAAATTCTCCTTCAATTTACGCTTGTAGTTTTTTTTGTTTACCTAGTGATATCGAATGTCTTGAAATCTAAATTGTTATTGACGGTTACCATCTATGACCATAGGCTGGTGTCACACTACACTCTTTGCCATATTTTGTTATAATAGGTGACAGTAACGTTCGCGAGCAGTTCCAAGTGCCAATGTGAGTCCCCGATCGAAGAATGGGCGGGACTAGCTCGAGCCGATGCGCAGCACCCCGGCCGGCCGCGCCGCGCATATGAGCGAGGACACTCACCGCCGCGGTCAGATAGTTCGGGTTATGGCACTGGTAAGAAAGAATACTACAAACCACTAACTTTTGCCATAATTGGCACATAAAACCCTATACAGTCGTAGCTCAAAATTATAGAATAGAAGAAACACGATTTGAAAATTTAAAAAATTACTGAATAGTACGAATAAGCATTTCATTCCGCGGAAAGTACGTGAAACTATCGAAATTGGTCGTAATTCGAATTTCAATCGTGATAGTGGATCGTCGGTACCCCCGGCTGGAAAACAGTGTTAGGTACTCCGTCAGTGGTTGATGTGGATGACACTTTAGAAAGTGACGTTGTCAGTGTAGTGTGCAATCCTGCGTATGACTTTAATAAACACGAAGCAAACGAGAGTTGTTGTTCGCCGACGCCGCCTGCGCCCGCAGCCGTACTGAGTGATCTGGCTGCCAGTTTGCTTTGGCGCGCAGTTTCCGTCGAGTTACCGCTGCGGAATCTCATGATTAATACGCGAGTTATCTGTTAGTTTAGTTAATAATATGCTCGTTTATAAGTGGATAACTAATAATTATATTCAGATACATATTATATTCAGTGTTTTTTTTAATCGTTTTGTCTTATTTCCATCATTTTTGAGTTACGACAATATTTTGTTTCATGTGCACATATATTTTGTGTGTTTTCTGCGTATTATTATTAAAAGTAGTAATTCAATTTAAATTTAAGTTAAAGACTAGCATGTATAAAAGCATGATGCGTGTTGATGACGCGAAAGATGATATGATGATAGGAAAAAGGCGTAAAGTAAATGTATGTATAATATATGTTTAGAAGTTATACCGTTAATTATTACAATGCTTTCAAACAGTCAGTACTACAGTAAAGAATGAAATTCAAAATACGCTCATGCGTCTCCGTTTAAAGTTACATTTTATTAATATACATTGTTTATTTCAATTGATATTTTTATGTGTTACTTTGCGGAAGTCCATGTTAATAAAAATGGAAGTAATACACCCTGATGTTCATCATTTAAGGATAATTTTCGTATAACAAAAAATCGTGTTTTATTAGTAGCTTTGAAGTTTCTGGGATAGTAACCCAAAGATCCATTTCTTGTATAAATGAACACCCTGTAACTTCAAATGGAGATGAAACAAAGGACAGATTCCAATAGAAAATCTAGCATGCTTATATTGTTATTATTTATTGCAACTTACAGGTGGCTCAGGCCGAAGTGCGCGGCGGTCACCGCAGACATCTCCAGTATCCGAAGCGGCCCTGCGAAGGCGGTCGCACGACGGCACCGCTTCGCCGCGGCATCCCAGGCACAAACGCACCTCAGTTAATACCAACTCGCTTACGGTAGCGTCTTTATGAAATCAACCCTTACGAAAGAATACCCAATTGCAAACCATCTAGAATAAGTAGCTATACTCGGGTATCTTGATGCACTCGCTTTTAAAACAAACAATGCAAAGAACAGAACGAGATAAAAATAAGGCTTGTAACCTATATCGATCAAATTAGTTTCTTGCCAGGAAAACTTTCACGTTAATATACAATTTTCTAATTTTCCCTTGTAGCCAAACTTTGATAAAAAATGTCAAGATGGCGTCGCGTTTGCAACTCGCAGGAAGCCTGACGGTAGTAATTTTCATTTAAATGAAGAGTTAAAAAAAGTGAATCTAACCAATAATATAAAACAAGCTGATTCCTACAGTTTTTATATGAGAATGATTGATGAATTTTCAGTAAGTTAGTATTTCTTTCGGAAGTTTAGTATATCGTTGGAAAATGCAGCTATTTTTCGTGGAATTGTAATTAAATCTTTGCCATTGACAGTCTGCTAAATACATCGAATATATAACCAGAAATAGAGACGAAATAAGGTCCATATATTCCTGGTAACACATTAGCGATACAGCTCTTATAAATATCAACTCCCGTTTGTACTGAAATATAGACAGGCCAACTACTGACCTGTGTGTACGTCTCCGTATATTCCAAAAAATATTCTGAATTTATTGTAATAAACATAATATCTCTAACAATGCCGTGCTGTTCTATTCGGTGGTGTGGTTCGAAAATAGCAAAAACAGCAAAACATCTAGTTACAAAACAAACGGAATCACATTTCATCGGTAATTAAATATTTTTTGCTATTTTCGAACATAACAACAAAGCTCAAGTTAACTGGTCGATTTGAAGTGAAACAGTTGACGACACCCGTCAATTGTTTCGAACTCGGGCTAGCCAATCGGAGCGCAGTTGTCACAGTAATGATATGGCAGAATAGTTTTCAAAAAAATTAATTGACATGTCGTCTCTATTTCTGGTTATATACTTGATGGCTAAATATGATTGATTTGGTCGGTATATTCTATTTATTTTTAAACTGAGATGTTGAATTATTTAACTAGTTATTGTTATAGTTAGGCTTCAGTTCACTGCAATTTCAATTAGTTTTCGGAATCTTTAATATTTTCCTATTTTTACTAAAAATTGCAAGGAAAATTCACCTTCTTATAATTCGTTTCCTAATAAATTATTTAGTTATAATCTTAAATGTATATTGTGGACAGGAGGAACTAATGCGACTAATGGACGCGGAGCTAGGCGAGAGCGGGCGACAGACGAGTACAACCGGCGGAATAGCACCTCCAGTTGGGGCCCCGCCTGTGGGGGTCCCCCCAGTGGGCGCGCCGCCGTTGCCACTCTGCGACGCTGCGGCTCTGGACTGGACTGCGCTCGTACAGACCGCCACAAGGGCTATGTTACAGGTATGTCACTAGCCTACTTCAATTGTTGCATCTGTACTACTAATAAAAATAATTTAAGATTTCTTCCCAATATTCGTAAAGTACTATTTTATTTTGACCCATTACAATTTTGACGTTAGTGCAGTCAGAGTTTTAAAAAGAAAACAGTAATGACAATAGAATCTAAAACTTAAGGCGACCTTTGCGATACGTATGCAGTATAGCGGTCATGCTCGGACTAGTGTTTGTTCACTATTTAATATCTGTGGCAATTTTTGTTATTTAAGTATTAGATTTTTTTATCGTGCAATATTATTTAATATTCGAGTATTGTATCCTGAAATATTATTTAATAATTACAGGATTATATACTTGAATATTTAAATAATAAAAATTGCGACGAAAATTGGGTAATGAACACTAAGTCCGAGAATGACCGATACGCGCCGTACAAGTATCAAACAGTGGTATATCCTAGAAAACGTACTGTTGATACCCTAAAGCTGGGTACTCATTAGCGAGCTATAACTGTAACGTGACAGGTACAGTAACGAGGTTCTAGTGTGTACGCCGTAAAACAGATTTCACTCGTTAGAATGTGTACCTGCTTATCGTCTGCTCACTGCGAACCGCACGCGTTCTGCTCGTGGCAAGCTTCCAAACCACGTACACACTATGATTTTTGGTAACATAATATGCAACGGTTACAGTTCGCTAGTAATACCCGGCTTTGATACTTGATCCCCTAGTTGACCTTTCGGTTCTGAGAGCTATCTTACGCATTAAACAGAAAATTGTTATAGGAATTCAGGCTCTATGGTTCAAATTTGTATTCTGTACTTAAGTATAGATTAAAAAGTTCCTTAAAACGTCATTCACCAATGATGCAATGGAAATCATATCAAAATGGATTTTACGGCTCACAGGTTAAAAGTTAAGTTTGTTTAACATTTGCCAGCGCTCTTATCCACTCAGAAGCAAATGTTGTTTAGGGGGTCAGGTATGTTAGGGCATCGACTGTACCTCATTCACGGGCGGCATTTTTTTTATACTGATTATCGATCGTCGTCCAAAACATACAAACGAAAAACAATTTTAATTACTCAATTCCACAAATAACAACGAAGAATAAGGGCAGTGCCTTAAATTTTACTTACTACGTTTACTTAAATTATCATCAGAACCGCTGTCGCCAAAACTCACGCATTCATAATTTGAAACACTACGAAATCTTGGTCGTAGTTTCTAATTTAAAACGAAATAACAAATTCTGGACAGTTAATATAATTTAAACTTTACCTTGTTGGCATACCGTTAAAAGTTCAGTACCTATTATTGCAAGCTACGACTTTTTGATTTTATATTGAAATTTCAATCAATGTGCTGCCACCTAACGATCAATAGTTGAACGACGACGAATTCGAGATGTTTCTTAGTTCTCCAAAAAAGAAGCGACCAAATTACAGCGGCATAATATTTATTTTCGTTTCTTGTAACAAAAAAAATATTAAAATAAACAGAAAATTGAAAATTTATTTAAATCAAATATAATATTTTTTTAATTAAGAGTTTTCTTTGAGCCATGTCTTCGTTTAATTATCGGTATCCTCAGTAATGTTTTCCATTGTGGTTCTAATACATTATACACTTTCTCTTATGTAACTTAGTTCACTTATTTGGGTTTTTTAAATAGGCGGCGGGAGTCAATATTTACGTTTTCACTTTCACTTAAATCACATTATTTTCTATCACTTTGAACAAAAACTTTGAATTCGTAATTATTGAAATTTTTAATGTAGTCTTTTGTAATTTGGTTTAAAATAAGCAATATCTAACTTTCTTTCTTCGTTTTTTCTTCATAATATACTTAAAATTAAAATAATCTTTGTAAAAGTTGTACTTGTTACTTCAAAACCCGGCCATTTTTTCTTAAATGTAATAAGACTTACACCACCATAGATAATATTAGAAGTGGAACTATCATTTTTGCATTCTAAAGTAGCAAAATAAGGCAATTTTCTACGATTTTCAAGGCTTTGTGCGAAATAATTGACACGATCATAGCATACAAGGCGAAAATAGCAGACTAAGCTTAAGTATGTGGAACTTCGCGTACTGTGTCAACACACGTGTCACGCAAACTAAGCACTTCCACTGTATTTATTGCTCTGTGGTTTATTCTGTCTTTTTTTTAGATATGTGAGGAACATCAGTACCCATCGATAGAGAACCCTGATCCTCCGATAGACCCATTGACCAATGAGCCACCAGTGCATGACTCGTGGTCTGAATTGCCTGTAAGTATTTAGTTTATAAAAACGAACTTCTTTGTAATAATCAGTCTTGTGAGAGCGAATTTTCCGTCCTCACTCTGATGAGCTCTCTCAATCTTCTTATATTGCAGGTAAGCCGTATGTTGTAAGTTATGTTGGATTATTATTAGAAATGCCACGAATATTCGGCCACTATTCGGTATTCGGTCACTTTTTTTTGATATTCGGTATTTGGCCGAATACCGAATATAAAATGATGAAAAAAGCATATATTCAAAGTCTATCATGCATTTAATTATTGATTTAATACTTAAAATCAATCAGTGGCAGGTTGTGATGTATGAAAACAGTTTTTTCAGCATTAGTTGGTAACAAACGATTGCATTTTTTCTCATAAACAATTCCTGCTTCTGAAAATAGCCTCTCACTATAAAAACACTACTGCCAGTAGATGATAGATAAATATTAGCAAATTTGACAGGCTTGAATACTGCTTTGCGTTTGCCGACCACTTGTAAACGTCTGCCGTCGGTCAGATTTCAAATAAAAATGAATTTCATGTACAATAGACCTTTTCTCTACATCCTCACCATTTTGCGTTAATACGCAGTAGCGTCGCTGTAGCGACTTCTTCAAAACAGGACCAGAAACTGTCATTTATTGATTCTATCGTTTTATCATTTTTCAACAAAACACTCCACCCCTGTTACTGTGCAATGAGACAGGTCATAACAGGTCGCGCGTGAAATGCAGATCTTACGCCGAACAGTCGGCAGCCGAATAGTCAGCGCTTCAGACGTTAACGTGGCTGAATATTCGGTATTCGGCCAAATCACTATTCGTGGCATGTCTAATTATTATCGACAATTATTATTAGCTACTACATATTCAATCGTGAGACGTCCACTACTGAACGTAAGATGTTTCCAACCTACAAAATATGACATTCATGAACCTACACTGCGGCGCCATGCAAATAGATCAGTCACTAGTCGAGTGTTTATACACATACGGGCACATCAAACGGAACCTTATCAGTCTATTTTACGTGTTGTCTGCATTGCCATTTGAAATTGTCATAGAATTAGTGCAATTTATAATGAAGTAGAACGTATGTAACTCCGTCAGACCAACGACACAACACCACCAGTGCCCACTCCAGCACCAGCGCAGAGCGGCACTCCTAGTGCAGCCACGCAGGCGTCGTGCGGGTGTGGGCTGGCTGCGCGCGTCATCGCCTTGGAGACCGACGCGACGCGTGCGCAAAGGCTGCAGCGGCAGCTTGAAGACGAGGTAATTTGTACTTCGTTACTTTATTCACTGCCATAAACCCCCTCGTAGTGTGCGGCATGCAGAAAACGGTCTCAACTTACCACTTCCCGCGTTTCGTCGTGTTATTTAAAAACAGTTCTGCTGTTCCTTTCCTGTACAGCAGCGAAGACCTTACAATGGCAAACATTATAGTGCATATGGCATACGCTGATGAACGATCGCGTAGTATTATGTTTCCAAATAAAAAAAATTGCATGTTATTATACACTTCCGGAGACATACTTCGAGCCACTTTGCGTTTACTGTATAAATTGCCCTAAGTTTAAACAATTTTTGATTGATCAAAAACTATTATGCAATTTTGAAACCAGTGTGCTTTTTCTTCTTATCGTATTAATGGTATACACTTATCATCGTCGTGAAAGGATTTAACGTGGTTTAACAGTGCGCCAGACATACAGGAAAGGAATGGTGTGTTGTGCGAGGAGGCTCCTTTCATGCACCCCAATACCGATATACTAAACGTTATTTATTTAAGCCATTGTTCAAAATTTGAATTTGTGAAAACATTTTCTTCAGTGGTAACAGTATCCTTGTATTCTAATATTAAAAATGAAAATGCTAGATGGGTCGAATTATGTATCCAGGAGTGCAGTATTGACTAAAAAGACTGTCAATGATTGTGTCATATTCTCCGTTCGTCAGGTTCGTCGCCTGCGACGCCACAACGCTCGTCTCCGCGAGGACTCCGCACGTGCTGTTTGGCAGCTCCGCCACTTCACGCAGTGGCTCAACCGCACCGTGGATAGACAGTGATACCAATCTTTTCATTCATTCTCAACTTTTTTCAAACCGACTGTTGAGCGACTATTATATCGGGCTCAGTAATATAATAAATAGGATATTTCCTACCTTGACACGAACCGTACCTACATCAATAATCTACAGTAACGTGACTCTCTACAAATTATTTATCAATATATGTAATTATATCCTTATTAACAATTTTGTATCTAGTAATTCGTATTTTGTCTCTCTGACCTGATTAGTGAAACAATCTATATTTTGTCGACGATTTTGTTTTATAATGCACACGTACATAATTACATTTTAACTGTTGTGCAAAAACTACATTAAAACCTATGTGAACATTAGACATTTGCTGGTCTTGCGCAACGATATAGAGTAGAAGAAGACAACTTGTCTTTTTCAACAATATTTTAGGACAATGCAATACAAAACATTACAGTGACGTCAAACGAGACAAAAAGTTATAAAAGACATTCACTATAGAATATTAATGCCACTTGACTCTTTGTCCCTGTACTATATAACCCGTATTATACCTTAAAATTAATAATCGTATCTGCCTAGTATGTTATTAATGGAAAGTCACGTCTCAATACGCAAACCTTTACAAAATAGGTTAACAAATTAAACCTACAATCGTCCATAGAGATCATAAAATAAATAATTAAGTCCGCATTACGTTATCTACAGATAATAGTAATCAATGTAAGTAGATTATTCGTTTAATATGAATCACCAATAAATCTGAATATATATTGAACTAAAACGTTCTTGACTCGCTTTTACAAATAAGCATTATATTTTACTACAATGTATTCGTGAATGCACGTTGACAAACACTATAATTAATAAACTTATTTATATAAAGGATGTAAATATCTAAGAGAACATAACGGTATCATTATTTCAACCCTACACGTTCATAGTGAATGAGCCGAGTTCACAATTGTGTCATTTTGCCATTTCCGCCGTGTCTCGTAACCACAGTACATCAGCGAGACATCAAACCGCAGTGAGCATACATACTACTAGAGACGCAATGTCCTACTAACAGTTGTCTAAAATGTGGGACAACTTTGCAAATTTAAAGACTAGCTTTGAATCTGAGTGAAATTTCAACGAAAAATATATTTGTCTCGTTTTTTCTAATGTCAAACTTATTATGTCAAAATGAAATGGTCATACATATTGCATTAACGGATACGACCAGTGTTACCGGTTTAGAAATAATTTTCCCTAATTTTTTGTAGCGTCACTGATGGAAAGAGACAGCAGAGATAGATAGTAATCAGAATGGGAATGAACGAGTGAAATATACATGACAATGTGTCAACTTAAGGGTCCGCTTGAAATTCATAGTTCTTTCAAATAAATTGTAAATATGAAGAGATGACTTTCTAATCTAAGAATTTCACTGCTTTTCTAGTATTTTTTATTTATTGGATAAAGATGATAAAAATACTGTCTTTCGACAAAGTTTCTGTTTCTGTTTAACGAAAACAAATTTATAAAAGGGTAGGTATTACGAATTACGTGATACACAAACATTTAACTATAGTTTATTACAAATTATTAAACGCCACTGTGCATCATTAGCTTGTTGTACAATTGCCTTGTTTTCTTACTCAAATTATCTTTTCGTAAAAGTCGTATAATTTTTATCCACTCCATCCAGCGCGTTCGATCTTTAGGTATTCTGGGAAACAAACAAAATATCACTTTTAATATTACGTATTAATAGTATTACGGTTACACTTTACGTTAAAACGTTACAACGACTAAACTTGAATTAGAATCACGTTTTCACTACGAAGTCAAAGTAACTTTTTGAAGTTAGGAAAGGAAGGGTTAACTCCCAATATTATGGGCAAATGAAAATTGGTTTACTGGCAACATTGAAGTTTAAAATAAATTTATTTTAGTTTTATTTACGATTCTAACCAAACCGATCTAAACAAACAAAAGCAAACTTACCTGTGGAAAGTAATCTAAGTAGTTTTACGATCATTGTCAAATCGAGAATTGCAAATTTTAATTACATTTTCACCGTTTTTGATACTTTTTATCACGTCTAGGTGACGTCACCATCTGTCAATCAGTGAGTTGTACTCACTCGAATTCAAGATGGTGACTGATGTCACTGTTGCCTGTAGGGAACAGCGCCGTGGGTACCGTTTGGAGGCGCAGATTGCGGATCTGTTGTTTGCAAGTATAATATTGTCAAAACGTGTTTACGAGGCGCGAGAGGGAATCTCATCATTGGTCGAAAACATTACACTTCCAAAGTATCGATAACCAATAGCTTAAAGGGAATAAGTCTCTCACCTACTAAATGACCATTAAACTATAGTTATAATAAGACAAGTATGGTAACTCCATACAAACTGGTTTGTACGAGGTCGCGCCCGTCGTGTACCGTGTATGGACGCACAGTACATGTAATACATTCGCATAATCTCGCGATGCATTCGCATTGCATAGCGCTGGTATATGGAAATACCATACAAACTTATTATTATACTATGATCAAAGCCTTAGTTTAATAAAACTCATAGTGGTACACCAAGCGTGTAGTAAATTCTTATGATTAAACCGCGCTGCATCTTATGAATTTTGTGCCTTTTGCTGCGCTTCTAGAGAAGCCTTTGTGTAGCGTAACTTTACGGAAAAACGTATGTTACATAATAAATTACATTGCCTGATATTAAACAAATTATTATGTATATCTATCTATCTACAAATATTCTGTATTATAAAGTTGTAATTTCTAATCATTGATGTTATTTAATGTGGTTTGTTATTACAAATAATGTATATTGATAAACTTTGACGTCATTTTCATAATTCATTTCGTATAGAAAATACCTATTTGGGTTATTTTCAAGTTAGTTTTCTCTACCTAATTTCGGTCGGAATTTTTATTATTTAAGTAATCGAATATATTATCATTAAATATCAAATAATATTTCAGGATACCACACTCGAATATTAAATAATATTTCGTGATAATATTCTAGAATATTATATATAGAATTTACCAAGTAATACAAATTCTCATGGAAATAAGACAGAAACATTCTTACCTGAAAATTACCCATTTGAATTCCGATTATTTCTTCAGATAAAGATATTATTTGTTGATTACGTAATTTATTCGTAAAATCATAGTACACATTACTTTTAACGTATATTGTTTATATTGTAGGACACGTTGGTTATAACATATTTTTTTATTGTGGCGATAAGATATAAGTTATCATAAGAAGATATGACAATGTAAGGTGAACACCAACTAAAATTAGGAGTGGGTCAAAGTGAAATGCGTTGTTACAATTATTTTCTTATATTTTAATCATGTTAATCGTATATTTATTCATAACTAACTGTTCAAACATACGTATTTGACTTTGACTTATGTAGTTAATTAATTATGGAATAGCATTCGTAAGTAAATTGTTATGTACACTCTTCAAGCCTGCCAAATATAATACAGTAAGAGAAAATACATTAGCACAAATTACACTTGTTTCAATATGGTAAAGCTTGAATACGAAATTAAAAGAATTCTAAGAATTTCGTAAAGTAAATGTACAATGTTTCGCGTACGGTTCTACTTTGAAATCTCATTGACACGTTAAAAATTTATACAAAATACGTCTGTTGTTCATTAGAAAATATAGGCGTTCTCAAAACAAAGGTATTTTTGTTTAGCCTGCCTAGGGGTAAGGGTGGAATTACAGGCACATGGGACATGTCAACTTATATCTCAGGACAGTGGACGCAGTGGCAGTGCCCCTCAGATCTGCTCTGATTGGCACTGCAACTCCTATGGACAGGCGCGTCGCTAACCACCAGGTGCAATACATTTTAATCATTATTAAAGCTGCACACTTGAATTTACATAATGTACCTACATTACCGGTAAAATAAACGCGCATTTAAAAAAATTATCTGTTCCATATATGAACTTGTTTTAAAACAGTATTAGTTATTTCAAAAATCGTGTAAAATCTTTCCATGGCTATTGTGCTACCAAACGCAAAATCTACATGTAAACAACTACATTGGTGTATTTTTGTATTTTCTTTATTGTAAAATTAAATACGAGTCCCAACTTTAGATTTAACCATCGTAAAATGAAAGCTTTATTAGTTTAGATTATTATAAAAAATAATGGATAAGTTACGCACGTAAAGGCCTTACTTTGGTGTACAAACCAAGTAGTAAGTTCTTTCAATGCGATTCATGTTTAAATAAACAACTATGAACAACTTTTTTTTGTTTTAAGACTGTTGCTAATCTGATAATAGTTTTTACTATGCCTAAGCTCGGTTTTAAAATGTGTAATAATTTTAAAAGTTATTCAAGGCTTTAAATGTATTGCAGTGTACATTACAGGATGTAACTTACAATAATTATGAAGTAAATTAATTATTTACACACAACTTCAAATTCTTAATTCAAACTATACGAAAGAATCTTTTTCCCGTCAAAATTGTAAGTTACGTACTTTCGTGATAAAGGATGATAGAGGATGATATGAGAATACATCTTGATTGCACAAATCAACGAATGAAGAATTAGTTATGACTGAAATGAAAATATTCCGTAACTCTTACTGTAATCGACCTAAATACTTTATGGGTTTGTATTGTTTTATTATAAACTTGTATGAATACGGAAAGTAGCTCCTCTTTTTATTAGGTATTTATTTTTTTGTTAAGGCAGCATATATTCGAATTTAAAACATAGGACTATATTCCGTCATTATAATTTTGTAATCATTTGTATTCCATTTCACGCGTTAGTTTTGTACGTAGGTAAATTTTATTTATAGTTTTTTCATGTAATTGTTTGATTTAGACTGGACCCCATTTTGTATTTAATGTGTTGATGAAGTTTATACCCACCACTCATTGTTTAGTTAATTATTACTTTGACATTTTTTTCGTCCTTTTTGTATTGACCAAAGTATAACGTTAATCGCCATAGATTTGGAATTTGCTTTATGTTTTTCCATTGACAATTTGTACGTTTCATTATGTAACTTCCTTACAATTTGTAAGTATATTTATAGTGACATTCCAATAATTAAAGTATATACCAAAGGATTGTGTATTTACTCATTAAGTTACCAGCTACAGGTAGCAAGCATTTGGTAAATATAAGCAAACATAAAAAAAAATATAAGTGACCATTTCAGCGTTATATACTTGCTTAGCCTTTGCTAATTGCATTTTCGAAGGTTAAAACAAAACTAATTTTGTAAACAACAGACTATCGACGTCGTATTTTTGGTAGATCGACATGTGTGGTCAGTAATCAGACAAAATCTAGTAAATGTTTAAGAAGCAAACTGTGAAAGCAGTAGTCAATTGTCAAAAAAATCGAGCAAATCTGTTGGCGCCTTTTTGCAACAAAAACATTGGAGAGGCGTATAAACTATTGCAATTGTTTTTCATACGTGACAGGCGTGAGCAGATCACTCCACTCCACATGATGTTAAATGGAACGCAAACTGGAAGGAACTTAGTGCAGTCTTGGTACAATCACCGCCCCAGCCACATTCGGACAGGAGGATACCATAATGGATAAATTTGAGGAATTGTTTTTGAGTGCGGTTATCCGCTGAAGTATTCTCTTTGTCACACCCTGTGTCAGACTTCTACCGATGAATTAACATAAATTATTTAATTACTTTAAAAATCATTAATATTTATAATTTTCCAATCGAAATCTTACGTCATATCGATATTAGGTACCGGTCATTCTAGGACTTGTGTTCACTACCTAATTTCCGTGGCAGGTTTTATTATTTAAATATTAAAGTTTATTATCGTGTAATTTTCAAAGTATTTATTTTATTTTTCACTATACTATACTCGAATATTAAATAATATTGCACGATAAAAAATCGGATACTTAAATAATAAAAAATTCCACGGAAATTAGGTAACAACACTAGTCCGAGAATGACCGACGCCATGTTTTTTTTTTTTTAATTCATTTATTCAAAAAAGTTTATACATTTACAACAATACATCTCCCGCCAAACTGGAACCAGTTTGTTGGCGAGCACGCTCTCACACATTATATGTTAACTAGCGCACAATAAAAACAACAAACAACTAATATAATTAGTATAACTAAACTTAGACTTAACTTCTACTAACTATCCTAATAATATATTTTTTTAATTTAGATTTTAAAATTAGAACACTACTTACTGGATTTTTCCTGAGGAAACCTATATTATTAAAAATATGTGGTACCAGATATTTGTTTAGTATTCGTCCGTAATAATTGACAGTCCGAGGTTGCACAAACTTTCCTTCACGAACCCTCCTAGTCCTATATTTGT